TGCATTTCTTGTTTTCTTTTTAGAGCTCGCATTCCGCCCGTCCACAAGGCAACAAAATATTTGTATGAACAGGTATTGCCATACGATGTTTGAAGAGAAAACTCATACTCTAAATGCACTGCATTGTCATGTTTTGTATAAAAGCATGGTTATACCGTTATAAGTTATGTTTCATAATATTTTGGATATTTTTATTTATCTTACACAAGTATGTTGTTTCGCGCTTCAAAATGATCAAGAAGTGCCTCAAAAAAGTAAAAAATCTTTGAGTGACCGGTTTTACCATACTCGTTTTCCCCAATTGACTGTAGTGTTATGAAAACCGTTTAGCAAAATTTGTAATTTCAATCATAAATATCTTGATAATCAGACAGGCAATGGGCTTCCTGACTGACCTAAAGGTTTATGATTATCATTTCAGCATGAGCTAAATCCAGAATTTTGTTTCAGAATCTGAAACAAAGTTACCGGATCCCTTTAAGTGGGTAACATTTTATATGATCAAACTATTTCAATGAGACATGTAAACTTTTCTCACATGTTGTTTTTAGTCAAATTGTACTTTGCTGTAAAGGGAAGACAATATGACAATATGGTGAAAGAAAGAAGAAAACGTTAAAGGCCTATTTCTATGACTGGATTAAAAAAAGCTTTACATGTATGTTTCTATGAACAAAGAACAAGAAGAACAAGAAGAAGGAGGAGGAGAAGAAGAAGAAGAAAAAGAGAAGTAGAAGAACAAAAGATGAGAAAGAAGTGGAGAATAAAAGAAAAGTAAAAGAATAGTTGATTTCATAGGAAATCTGTCATTTAACACAAGATTAATGGAATACTATTCTTATAATGACCAAATAAATATGAACAGGGTGTGCACTTGGAATTTCACCAATTTTACCAGCTTTGGTCACAAATAGTGCAAATTACACACTCTGCACATTTTACATTTCACCCTGGCATTGAGTAAGCTGGCAACAGTATTAATTGGAAAAATTAGAACGACCCCATGAAAAGTTTGTTTAACTTTCTGAATCTATCACGTTAGGGGCCACAATCCCTAATAGGTAACAAGTTTTACAATTAATGTATGCACTTTTAAATTAAACAGGCACTGCCAATTGAAATAGGGAGGGCCAAATAAGATTGCCCTGTGAAGAAACTTCATCAGTATCATATGATTGTAAATCTTAATATCCATTCCGAATGTTCTTTCCTTTTTCTTACATGGTGTATGAGACATACAGGGATAAGTATGTCCAATGTGAAAATGTTATTTAGTACCATTAAAGGTACACCCTGTACAAGTTATCACTTTTTTAATTCCATGAAATATTTGTATTCATAATATTTATACTAGATACATGTACATAGTTATGAGCAGCAAAATAATCCTGACAACATAAAAGTCAAACTTTTCTCTGAAAATTCATGTGGCAGATAAAATCCGATATTTTTCTATCTTTTCTATAAATAGATCAATTTAAAAGTAAAACTTTTGCCAATTTCTATTTTACTTTTTCAAACTAACATAAACAAAGGACAAATAATAATTCTTCTGGAGAGTGGGAGGGGGGATGGGGAGGGGGGAGCTAATTTTTCCCCACATAAATACAGGATACCCGGGCAGTGTGTCAACATTTTTCAAAAATGAATTCAAAGACTTCTACTCTCTAAGACAATTATTGCCCTTGCATGTACATGTCTGTAATTCATAGCATATACATGTATATTATACAACATTGTTTTTGGCTAGATGCTACCACAAGGTGGCGCTATTTCATTGAGAACTTAGTCCTTCATATCAATAATTCTCTCTCGTGTACAGGTGGACAAACCAGAACAGGTTGCATGCAGCGTGTGTGTCGGCGTGTAGGGGGTGTGAGATGGGTGGGCTAGGGGGGGGGGGGGGGGGGGGGTGAAGAGTTTGTGTGGTGTGAGTTGAGGGAACAGGTTGCATGCAGTGTGTGTTTGTATTTGTATGTGTGTTTATGTGTGTGAAAGGGGGTGTGGTGTGGGTGGGCTAGGGGGGGGGGGGGGGGGGGGGGTGAGAGTGTTGTGATAGGATGGTAATATGTAACTTTAAACCTTCCTCTACTGTTATTTTGATTATACACTGTTACATGCAAGACTTTTTTTTCTTTTTTTTTTCCTTTTTTTTCTCTATGTCCATTGATTGATGTAACTTATGAAATGTCTTGTATCAAAGATCTTGTTTTATATTGCTTATCTTGATAATTTCTTGTTATGTGAAATTATGAGGAAGGAAATAAAATATCATTTAAAACAAAAAAATCTACACTTTAAACCTTCCTCTACTGTTATTTTGATTATACACTGTTACATGCAAGAACATTTTTTTTTTTTTTTTTTCTATGTTCATTGATTGATGTAACTCATGAAGTGTCTTGTATCAAAGATCTTAATTTATATTGCTTAATTTGATAATTTCTTGTTATGTGAAATTATGAGGAAGGAAATAAAATATCATTTAAAACAAAAAAAAATATCAAGAGTGAAGACCAATTTGTTAGACAGGTAATCACAGCTACATGTATATATGTTTGGTACCACAATCGGGTCAGACACCTGTAATCGCAATAATAATAGAATGGGAGCTTATCCTTGTGCATTTCCAAATATCACAACAAAATAAATAAATAAAGGCCAAAACTTTCAGTAACCGCACAAAAGGAAATAACAAATTCATTGGGATCACAGTCATTGGAAATTCCAAATCTTGGTCAGGAAAAAATCATGGTAAAGCATTCATCATTAATTTAAATACTGTCTGAAAATGGTTAGATTGCACGAGAGGCGAGAGAGTATTGAAGAAATCTAGAGGTGGATCAGGGTTGCAAGGGACATTGTGCTTCATGCTTGTCATTCGCGCTTTGCACAGCAGCTCATACTCATTCTCCTCTGGGTTGCAATTTTAGATGTTTATAAACCCTTTTATTGCTTTCTTCGCCTCTCTGCATGGTCGCTTGTTTTGTTTGCCACACATGTAATTTTGCACAAAATTTAACAGGCACCACTTGGTGGAAGGATTATTACTTTGTGCAATACAACGACTTTGCTAAATTACCCATTTCTGCTCTTGAGTATCTCCATGACAACTCACTTCACACTGGTAAAGATTAATCTGCACTGGTAATATGGAAGCCTTTGGTATATCTATCCCATAATGAATACAACGAGTGATGTCAAGTTGGGTGTTTAGGGCTGGTGTTAGTGTAAACACTCACAGCAGCCCTAAACACAGAAATGGAAATAAGCTGGTGTTAAAAGGCTTTGATCTCTGAATATATCGCCAACTTTCGGTAGCTAGTGTTATCAATTTTGCAAAGTTGTCATCTGCTGAACCAACCTTTGTGGCTGGTGTTAATATTTTATGTACAAATGTCCTATTCTCTAACACTAGCCCCTAGGGATTAAGCAAATGTTGATTTCCAGTTCGGCGTTAGTGTTAAGCTATTGATATTGATATCGGTATCGGGCTCTTAATTTCACAAGCAAATTTTTAGCTCGATTTAAGAGGTCTTGACTGCTCTAAACACTATCACCCAACTTTAAATCACTCACTGTGGCACACAGAGATTATTTGTGTGGTGTATAAAGGGTTAAAATTTTGTGTGAGGACCACCGTGATCAGGGCCTGATCACCTGTCACACCATTAAATCGAGAGAGAGACAGGAAACGTGAGGATATCGTTCAACCTAAATGGGTTTCCTGCCCTGACATTACACATGGACCGGATACTGCTGATACACATGGATGGAGGTGATTGTACTTTTTCAGGTGGAACATGTCAATAGCTCCTCTGCTAGCTATAAGCACCTCCTCAAATCTATGATCGCATTGAATCATGCCTCGTCAAGAAATGGGCTCAGAACTACATGTATATAAAAATAATAATAATAATAATAATTGGATTTATATAGCGCCTTTTCCAAAGGTTACAAGGCGCTGCTCTCCTAGACTTTCGACAATAACAAGAATTAAATTGTGCCTGTTTGTGTTAACATAAATAATTCATGTTTTTGAGTGCATTAGTGAAAAATAAAAATAATAATAATAATAATAATACTAAAAACGGTGCTTATTAAGCGCTTACCACCAAAGTCTTGAAGCTCTATGAAAGTCAAAATCGGTTGAGGTACGAGACTTGCCAAGTTCCTTATCCGGCTAATTGTGACTTTACCATGTGTAGTGCACATCACTAAGAAAAAAAACTCCAAAACATGACTCAATGGTTTCATAAAATGGGTAGGGGATACGAATATGAAGTCGAGAAATAAGAAAAAGCCAATCACAATGCCCCTGTGGTATAGTCAAGGAGACCGCCATTTGCTCTATTGGATGACGACACATACATGTAAGTGCAGCCAAACAGTCTCGGTATGCGCATTAATGTCCTTGCCATTTGAAACACGAACATTTCATTGCATTGTTTTTTTGTATGCACCAGAGATAAGCATACACGCATCTTAGCTGTACATCATCACTTTTAGCCATGGGTCATTACTTTTTGATAGGAAGTTTTAGCACGGTAGGTGTGGTAGGGAAGGATGATGCTTGGTCACGTATTATCATCACCAACACCTCTCTAGCAACTCACTCTTATATCCCATCCCTCATCTTTATAGTCATCATCGTAACTGGATGGTTGAGATGAGATGTATACCTTGCCTTTATCCTTATCATCATCATCATCATCATCATCATCAAAATCATAATCATCATCATTATCATCACCATCCTAGTCATCGTCATCATCCTCATCATCATCATCCTCATCTTCCCATGAGATATATTTCTTGCTCTTATAGTTTCCTCCTCCTCCTCATCACTGCCACCACCACCACTACCACCATCAATCAATCATCATCATTGTTAACTATCATCATAATCATCTTCATCATAATCATCATCATTGTTAACTATCATCATAATCATCTTCATCATAATCATCATCATCATCATCATCAATTAATCAATCATCTTAATCATCCCATACCTCGTCATTATTATCGCTGGACGATTCTGATGAAATGTATTCCTTGCTCTTGTAGTTTCCTCCCGATCCGGCGCTGGATTTCTTGGGGCTTGGCGATGTCTTTTTGGGTTTGGATTTGCCCGAGCTTGACTTGGTCTTCTTGCCGCCACTGTGGATGCAATACAAAGGATCGTGGGTAAATCACTAGGAGCAGTGGATCACCCATATATAGTAGCAATATACAGTGAGTCCCAGAAAAAATGAAACGAGAATTATCAATGTTTTATCTTAACTTAATCACAATTATAATTGATAAATGACACATATTTGTAAAGCTTAGATCTTCCTCTTTCATTTGATGCAACTCTTATAATCCATATTTCACGCATGAGTGGTTAAAATGAATTTGAAGAGAGGAAATCAAAAAGTCATTTGGCGGACGGTATCTGAATTATAAAGAGAAAATCACATTTCTAGAAAGTTGAGATTCTGCCCTTTCATATGACACCTCAGTCAGGAAAAATGAGGTAGGAATAACAAAGTTCTGTTTGTTTAAAGTAGTGCTTGCATTTCCATATTTTATTAAACAAATTCGTTTTCACTGGCTGTCTGCTGTAGCAACAAACAGAATTAACTAAAGACTTAAACTCCGTTTCGTTGACAATCAGCCGTACACGAAAGACTTCATGCACGGCTGATTGTCAACGAAACGGAGTTAAGTCTTTTGTCAATTTTACTGTATAGTAGAAAAGAACTACACGCATGTTCAGATGTGTAACCAAGTGTTACCATGTTGCCACTGAAGATTAGAAGAGCCTTAAATACTGCTCATGGATTTTGCCATGCACAAAAAAAAGTCCTTCCTTAATGTATGTTTACTGTTTGTGCCGATCAGCCCTCGAGGCATGCCAGCACATGGGGCAATCAGCACTGATGACAAACCGTATCCGGACAACTATCCCCTAGGGCAACCACCCTCTAGGACAACTACCCCCCAGACAACTACCTCTGGACAGCTACCCACTGTACAGCTACCCCCCCCCCCTCCACCCCCCCCCCCCCTGACAGCTACCCCCCGGACAACTATCCTCTAGGATACTTGTCCGGGGGTAGTTGTCCTAGAGGATGGTTGTCGTAGGGGGTAATTGTCTGGGGGTGGTTGTCGTAGGGGGTAGTTGTCTGGGGGGGACTTGTCCTAGGGGATAGTTATCCTAGGGGTGGTTGTCCAGGAGGTAGGTGTCCTAGAACCATGACAAACGAAAGGTTGAACACTCACCTTACAGTTGCAGGTTCATATCCTTCTTCCGCTGCCCTCTCTCTGTACTCCTCCATCGCGATCTCGTACTCCTTCTTCTTCTCGCCGGCGATCTCGTTCCACTTGGCCTTGCCGGTGTCTCCCAGCTTCTGCCACATCTCTCCCGCCTTCTTGGTGAGGTCTGTCACGCTGATGCCCGGGAACTGCTCCTTGATGTCCTCGCGCTGGTCGTTGAGCCACAGCATGTAGCCGGTCGTCGGCCTCTTGGGTCGGTTGGCGTCCTCTCCTGCTTGACCTTCTTCCTGGGTTTGTCCGACTATGGTGTAATCAAAAGTCAAAGGGGAACAGTGAGTGATTAGCTAAGGAAAACTCTCGAAGAAGAAAAAAAATGTGTGAAAACTGCCCCCATGAAAATGTTATTTTTAAGGACTGTTCGCATATGCTGTAGAAAACCCTGGCAGAATTTTTTTCTTCTTTTGTGTAATAAATAAATGGCAAGTTGCGACAAATAAAGTACATGTACATGTATGTACTTTGGCAAGACATTTTATTATTATCCTTTGAGTATTTATCTTGCTTTGTCAACAGCTTACCGATTTCTTGGTTCTCTTCTTCTGCTTTGCTTTGCTCTTCTCCTTCTCCTTCTCCTGCCTTTTCCTCTCTCTCCTCTCTTCACGTTCTTTCATGTAGTTGTCGTCGTCGGCTTCGTCCTCTCCGCTTCCTGCCGTGTAGTCGGAATCAGAACCGGATGTATGTGTCTCAATGTTGCTGTCATATCTGGAAATTTGAAGAAGAAGAAGGGGAAACAAAGGTAGCTAAAATAATAAACTATTCAAAATTTAAGACCAGTATATCTACAAACAGTCAAACCTGCTTTAGTGACCACCTGTCTACAAAGACAACCTTTTTTGTTATCCATGAAAATGGTTTCTCATTGAAACATGTACTATTAGGAACCTGTACATAAAGGCCACCTGTCTGTACAGACCACTTTTCTTGTTTCCATTGGGCGGTCGCAATAGACAGGTGTGACTGTATCATAATAATAAGTCTTTGAGTTGGAAATCCTTTCCCGCAATATACAGTAAATCCGTTTGAAATCATTAAAAATAATTTTTCTCACGAATGAAGCATATGTGTTTGAGGTTTGTTCCAATGAATAACTAAATACCCAATTCAACAATGAAATAAAGAATCCAAAAAATGGATTTCCCTTTAAATATTGACAACCATAGAACATGTTGCTACTTACTCTTCAGCTACATCACTTGCACTTTCCAACGGATTGAAATCTTCATCTGAAAAATAAATTGAGAAAGCAAAGTGATGGTTAAAATAACAAAGATCAAGGAATCACTCTGAGAATGTATTAGAGAGAACTCCTTGAGTATAACATCAGAGAAGTGTTTCACAAACACTAAGATCGACTTAACTATGGCGGGCGGTTCATGCCACTGTTTGATCTCACAATTTACTGGCATTTGTCTCTCAAGGGACGTACAAAAACATGGTCATAGATCTACAGAATTTGCATTTTTTGATAATTCATTATTGAAGGAAAAAATATTATCTGGAGATCATAATGGTGAGAGCAAACAATGACAAGAACAGCCTGCCATAATTAAGTCCAACTTAAAGTTGATCTTAGTCTTTATGTAACACTCCCCAGGTATATGAGAAACTAGATGGAACTTCGACTGCGCGCAGTCGAAAGTGATGCCTCCATCATAGAGCAATTTTACAAACCCAAACGGAAAAAATATTTCAAATTCAAGTTCGGTTGTAATCCATAACAGGTTCTCAGAATATCGTGATTATACAAGCTATTTCTCATATACATGTATGACCCTTTGATCTTTGAACTCATGACCTCAAATGCAAAATACATATATATGCATGTCTTGAGTTTGATGGTAATCCATCCATCGGTTCTAATGATAATGCAATCACAAGCTATTTTTGCATACATAATGAGCCCCATGACCTTTGACCTTGACCCCAAAATCTAATCAATTCATTGGCTCTGCAAGATACATACATAACCTAAGTTTGGCAGGAAACCATCAATCAGTTCTTGAGATAACGCAATCACAAGCTATTTTTGCATACATAATGAGCCCTGTGACCTTTGACCTTTGACCTCGTGACCCTAAAATCTAATCAGTTCATAGGCTCTGCAAGTTACATACATGACCAAAGTTTGGTAGGAATCCATCAGTCGGTTCTTGAGATAACGCGATCACGAGAACGGGACGTACGTACGTACATACAGACGTACGGACGGACGGACAACCCGAAAACATTAATGCCTCTGGCTACTTCGTAACGGAGGCATAATAAAATTGGACTTATTCATTGCATTTAAATGCTAAAGCTTCCATAAAATATAATTGCTATAGAGTACCGAAGCTGTGACGTCATAAAAATCTATTTTTAGAATTTCTCAATTTTTTCTTCATTTTCCGAAAGAACATCAAAAATAATGTCCAAATGTCGAAAACCAATCGAATATGTTAAGTATTGGCTGAGATATGACCATCTGAATAAATATATGTCCTATGGGAACTCAGTGTTATATGCTCTGGCTCCTAATGGTTACACTTCACCACTCTATTATGATTACAGAATGAATAGGAAGAAGACACGAGAAAGCTAGAAAAAACATGATGAAAGAGAGACACACACAGATACGATAGAGATGAGAGAGAGATGAGAGAGAAAGAGAGAGAGAGAAAGACAGAGACAGAGACAGCAAGAGACAGAGAGAGAGAGAGACATCAAGAGACAGAGAGACAGCAAGAGAGAGAGATAGAGAGAGAGAAAGACGCACTCAAAGACAGACAGAGACAGACAGACAGAAAATAATAGCAACAGACAAACAGAAGTTATAGAAAAAGAAAGAGAGTATACAAAGCAAGGGAGCGAGATAGAGATAGATGGAGAGAATAGAAAGTGAGAGAAAGAGAGAGAGAGAGAGAGAGAGGGTGAGATGAAAAGTAAAATTATGGAACACAATCTCTCTATTAACAATACAAATTTAGACTGTCCTATTAATTATTACCTGATGAAGAGTCTGAATCGTTCTCGTCAATTTCTCCCTCTTCCCTCTCTCGACCTTCAGCCTTGACCTGTTCAAGGTAGGCATCGTGGGCGTTTCCATCGTCACTGTCTCCGATGTCATCATAGTTGACTGTATCCTGATTGGTCAAGGGAAGGGAAAGATCATCAATATGCATGAATTATTATATTATCACACACGTCATACAAAGATTATATGTCTCTGATCGGTCACAACAGATATGCCAAAAAAGAATTGGAAAAAAAAAAGCCACAGATATACGTTTCTTGGTGCAAAGCAATACAGTTTAATAAGAGATTGATCATTACTGCAGCAGAGTCACTGTGAACTTCAGAAGCCCCTCCCTCCCCCTTTACGCTTTAAATTTAAAAGAAGAACCAAAAAAAGAAGGATTTTTAATATTTTTTAAACCCCCTATGATTGCAGACCCTATACGCCATTATCAGTACCTAGCTTTAATGTCCACCAAAACACAACATATATTATGTTGTCGGGAACCAAACAAAAAAGAAACAGTGATCTAACTGAATATATAGAAATCACTCTTGTTCACTCTTGTTCTGTTCAGTAGTGCAAGTCAACGTTTTATTCCAACAGCAAATATTATTGTTCAATGTGTAGGATCACTTTCAATTTACACTGGACTGGACATGTAGATATCTTGTGGGGGTGCTCAGACATATGCTCCAACAAAAAACTTCTTGTGACTTAATTTTGTCTAAGATAGAGAGTAATGGTGAGGGCTAGGGTTAAGGGATTGGGAATCATTGCCTCAGATTCTAAACAAAATCCTGGATTTAGCTCATGCGGAAATCATAATTATAAACCTTTAGGTCAGTCAGGAACCCCATGACTTCTACAAGCTTATCTCCCATCTGATTAGCAAGGAATTAAAAATTTCAAAAACTGTTTGACCTACAGTTTTGAACAGTGTTTTATAACACTTCAGTCTATTGGGGAAAATGAGTATGGTATTAACATTGGTCACTCATTTTTTTTTACTCTTTTGAAGCACTTCATGATCATTTTGAAGCACAATTTTTAGGGCTTCAATATTACATCATATCACAGACACTGATAACACGTATCGGTAAAGACATGCATCTCAGATTTATAAAACTTGAAACATTGTTAAACAATGCCTTTAAAGGTAATACAAAGTTTTGGGAAATTTTGAAAATTGGGTGGATAGTGATTCTTTACAATTTTGATATACTTAAATGCCACTGTGGATGTATTGTAAGCACTAGAAAATTTAGTCCCTAAAACACTTCTGCTTTCGAGAAAAATTGAATATGAAAATTTACGGGTGCTCCCGGTAAATTGTGATAAATTTCAAATAGCGCCTACGGCCGTACGATGGTAGCTGCGACCATGAAAATCTCAGAATATGTAGTTGTGATATATAATTTCTAAACAGAAATAGCTAATCGGTCGATTTTAGCCAAGAAACACTGTTTTATAGCTTAATTAATATCTTGACCTTGAGAGGGAGCTATACAACATAAAGAGTTTATTATTTACAATTTCATAACTTTAGACTCGATTTCAACCGCGACAACGATCACTGAATATTGTAGGATCGAATATGCTTCCAATATGTTCATTTGAACCAAATTCATGACCCCATACCAAAACTTTGTATTACCTTTAAGGTTAGGTACATGTATAGTGTTTGGTCCAAGGTTGAAGTTGTGAATTCAGTTAGTGTAGGGCTTTGACTGTGGAGCGATTGTCACTGGAGCATGTGCCATACAGCCATCTTGTAGAGCAAATAGCATATAAACAGAATGGCCTGTCACAGACATTCTAGACATAATTTTCTACTTACTCCCTTCATTCCTCTGTTCTTTACTCTGAGCTTCTTACTCGACACGTAGCTAAAGAGTGGAGTGTAGTCATCCCTGTCAAATACAAACAAACGTACAATCAATAGTATCCTGAACATAATAAATCATAATAAATCATGAACAGAACAGCTCCTCAATACAACCAGTCTTTAATTCACCTCTACCAACCTACACGTACCCTCCGATCCACCAACTCTGGTCTTCTACACATTCCGCTTTCAAAGATATCATGGGGGGGGGGGGGGAACGAGCTTTTGCCCATGCCGGACCAGCCCTATGGATTTCACTTCCACAGGAGCTAAAGAATTCGGAATCTTCAACTTCTTTTAAGAGCATACTTAAATCCCATTTGTTTAATTTTGTGTTTTCAAGACAGACATTCATTCATTCTTTCAATTTTGCATTTTTCTTTCTTATGTAAATGTACACAATTCTTTGTCGATGATGTAATGTGTTCCCTAATATTTTGAAGCGCCTTGAGCATTTAATTAAAATGGATAATGGCGCTATATAAATCTCATGTATTATTATTATTATTATTATCCCATCCATGACAGGAATCTCTTCAGGGCTAAACTTGGGCGCCTTTTACTTTTTCAAATTGGCAACAATTACAATTTTTTTTTCATCGCTACATTGTTCTGATAAAATGTCATGTATATTTGCATTATTATGAGCTACTGGCATTTTAATTTTTTTTTAATTTCCACTTTGGAAGAAAAAAAAACGTGCTAAGAAAGAATTGATATGCTTGTAAGTAAGCAAACAGGGGACTGATGGCTTTAAGTCCTCTCAGAGGGACTTGGTAATGAGGATTAATGCATTAACAAAGGAAAAAAGCGCATTGACTTGGTTTTGAACCTCCTAGTTTCGAGACCACAGCTCTACCACTGAGCCATCATGCCTCCCCAGGCTTAAAAATAACTGAAAGGTGGAGAAAAAAACAAGAAGAGACAATAACCGAACTCACTTCTCTATGCTGCTGAAGACGAACGTCGTCTTGTTCCGCGTCTCGATCTCGAAGTCAAAGTACCTCAAGCTCCCGGTTCCAGCAAAGTTGACGCTCTGGATCTCGTCAAAGCGTATGTGCATGGGAGGTTTATGAACGTACATGAAGCCCCTCTCAAGTGGATAGAGGAAGCCGCTGTTTGACTTGTACGAGCAGCTGATGGCATGGGCTCCTTTGGCCCTGAAAATAAAACAAATGTAGTCAATTTAACCCCTTGCCTACTAGAACCGGGTGGTCCCTGTATTAAGCATATGGAAATGAGAGAATTTAGTAGTCAACAGGTTAAAGTGTTTTTGTTTTCCAAATGTAATTTCTAGGTATGGTGATGCACTATCAGACAATGAAAGTCACATCTCGAGAATTAGTTCAGTTAAAAGCCTGAACAGTCAAACCACATTAGTTTGAAAACACATTATTAATTGGCACAAATTCACAAAGAAGGTTTTAATCTTAACCAAGGCTTATGGTTTCACCTTTATTTTGAACTATTATTATATAACTATTGCATGTTCCACAGTTCAATACAAAAAAGGCATGAGTGACATTTCATTTTACTGAGACCACAGGCCAAGGTTGAGCTATAATGGCACAAAGAAAAATTCTAAAATTGGAGTTGGCTATATCTTATACTAAATGACGATATGCACGTAATATATATATATTTAAATTTGAGTGTATAAACGATCTTACGCTGTGCTTCTCAAGCCACCCCCGATTATTCAGACTGTATTCCATATCAAATACGCGCAGCCCAAAACAATGAAAGCAATTGGTACGTGAAAGTAAGAGCAAAAATGGTGGATCCGCAGTCTCATTCATTTTTAATTTTTAAACAGAATATCTTGTGCAAAACAGATTAGTTATACTGCAAGCTCGTGCATGGATATAAACATGAATAAATACAGCATGCGAATGGTCCTTTGACAAGAGGAAATAGAGGGTAACCATGGCAACCCGTCTTCGACACTTACCCCTTGAAGTTGCCGGCACTGTGATTTTTCTTGCCACCAGACACTTCATGATCCGACTGACAATCTCAAACATGGGACCGCTCATCTCCTTGGTCAGTTTGCCCTCGTATTTCTGCTCTAGCTCATCCCTGATAATAAACAAGACAAAGAAAATAATGATTACTCCTACAGTATTACACAAGCAGAAAATGACACAATGTATCCCCTCTCATTAATTTTCATGCATGTTTATTTCACATATATTCAGATATAAATTATTTCAAGGTAGTGTATTCCCCTTTATAGACTGCCCAGACTTGCTTAACTTACATGGCAGAGGTCACGATTTGTTCTTCACTCATTTGGTTATCCAATTTCACAAGTCTCCTTCATTATCATAAACATTATCATTATCATCCCCACTACTATCATCATTATCTCATTATCACCCTCCTCCTCCATCAGCACTATTAGCATTATCATAACTATCACCCATTGTCGTCATCATCATCATCATCATCATCATCATCATCATCATCAACATCATCATCATTACCATCATCATCATCATCATCATCATCATCATCATCATCCTCATCATTACCATCATCATCATCCTCATCTTCATCATCATCCTCATCACTACCATCATCATCATCATCCTCATCTTCATTAGCCTCATCATTACCATCAAAACCATCATGATCAATCAACATCACTATCATCATTGTTGTCATCATCTCCATCATCATCATCACTATCACAAAAGACTTGAGAGAAATGGAATTCCTTACTCTGTAAGATTGAGCTCCAGGGCTAGTGTGTCTTCCTTGTTGAAACTCAAGATGAGGAAATGATATCTGGTCTGACCCTGAACGATGGGCGGATCTAAACTCATCTACAAAAGCAAAAGAAAGAGAATGATGAGAACCCATAATACGCATCCTATACAAACATTTAAAGCCTGTCTGTACTAGTTTGGCCAGGGGGATTCGACTTCCTTGCAAGGTCACTGACAGGTGGTTATCTCATCAAATCAGCTCTCAATTAACATAAGAAAAAGGGGATCATGGGGGATCTACAGGCACCACTTAGGCATTGTTTGCTATATAGAGGGCGCAAGTAGCTATAAGTAGTGCAGTGAGGCTTTAAGAAGAGAATTACTGGTATCTCAAGCACATTTAAGACCCCTGCTGTCAAAAGTGATGTTATGAAGGGAAAACAAAGACATTACCTATGCCTATGGTCGAAGTTTTCAACATCGTGAATAATTATTTAATGTCCATGAATGTTTTTTGGCAAACTGGTTAGCTCTGTGTCAATGTGAAGTATATGTGAGATTCTACTTCTTGATAATACAACTTGTTTTTTTAAAATGACATTAGAGTATTCCCCCCCCCCCCCCCATGTCTATTTGTGCTTACAATTCATCTATTACACTTACCTGCATCTCTAACTTAGTCAAAGTTAAATTTTTCATTGGGAGGTTACATTTTATGAATTTAATTTCATACTGATTAAGGAGAAACAGTAAACAATTTATTATTTTGTTTCTCCGAAAGCGGAAAAAAAAATCTGCAACAGTAAAGATTTTAAATTTTCAAAATAAATCATCAAACAAGATAGCTTTTTTTTCTTTCATTCCATGCAACAATAATGCAGTTCGTAAATACTATCTGCGCATGGGCAGATAAAGGTAATTTGTTCCCAATTGAAGACCATCGAGACGAATACTGGTATCGTGCTCATGAAAGTTATGTAATCAGTAGTCATTTATGCACCGACAGTACATTTATCTGATACACAGGTGAAAGTATTCTTCTTAAGAGGCAAACAAAAGGTAGTCATGAAACGCCTCCATCACTTCGACAGTGATTATTCTAAAATTTACAAGTGGTACGTATCCATCGTGTAAGATCTATGGATATTCTGGGGTCATGCGTTCCGAAGCTATTTACAAACTCGCTTATTCTGTAGCTCTCTGTCAAACTCACCACAAAGAACATCTGTCTGTTATCCTTATGAGGCAGTAGGAAGAGTCTGAGGACGGTCGTGAAGGGAATCTTGTAATCGAAAGTCTTTCCGTGGAGCTGCAGGAATGTGGGGAAGATCTTGATGTCGTACCGTCCTCTGCAAATTGGCAAAGACAAAGACATCACTTAAACTAGATTATGGTATTGGATGGAAAAAACATATATATACAGTGCGTCCCAGAAAAAAAAACGAAACCAAGAATTATCTATGTTTTTATGATAACTTAATTACATTTATAATTGATAAATGATTCCTGATTGAGGTGTTATATGAAAGGGCAGAAACCCAACTTTCTAGAAATGTGATTTTCTCTTTGAAATTCAGATACCGCCCGCCAAATGACTTTTCGGTTTCCTCTCTTCAAATTGATTTTAATCACTCATGCGTGAAATGTGCATGATATGAGTTGCATCAAATGAAAGGGGAGGATCTAAGCTTTCCAAATATGTGTCATTTATTAATCATAAATGTGACTAAGTTATGATAAAACATCGATAATTCTCGGTTTCGTTTATTCTGGGATGCACTGTATATGTCACATTCGAAAGATGGTACTATTTCTTAAAACTGAAATGATGGACTGGGATGATGCATGTCAAAATAATATAATCTAGATACTTAGATGCAACAGAAATTAGCTGTATGTAAAATACAGGATTTTTGTTTGAATACCTTGTATGCTCCGAGCTCAATATTAGAATACAGAGAAAAGAATGGCAGTCTTCTATAATCGCAAGCTCTACATGTATGCTAAGATTTGTATCATCTGGTACAAAGGAGCCAAGAGGATGTATACCTCCTTTGAAAACTACTACCTTAATTACCCTACCATATTAAACCATTTAAGGTTCACATTTCTCTTTTGAAAGTTCTAATATTTCTGGTTAAAAAAAATGATACCCAAAGTTTACATTTTCAATATTCTTTAAATTTATCATCGAAGTGGGAGTTGGAGCATATCAGAAACCTAGCACTGTTTACGGTAGTACCCTTGTTAAAAGGTCAAAGTTCATTACCTTGGTGTCAGACATGGATCTCCTCTAATGAGCAGATAGCATCACCAGTGGCTTGGATGATGTCTGCCTTAGCCATTACATTCTCCAGGAATGCCTGCATAGGGGAGACAATGTCACATACAATGCGTCAGTGTGCTGAAATCATTTAATTCACACCAAGAAAGATAATATTATCAATGTTTGATTCAGAGCAATATGGCCCATTTTCTTGAAACTTGCAGAAGTCAGAATATTTACTGATAAGCATTGTTACATCACAAGGTCAATCAAAAGTAATGCGCAATTTAAGCGCCGCATTAAATGCATGCTAATATGATTGTGCGCAGCTTATGATGACAGCGTATGAAAAGCACATGTCTGCCACACGTACGTGCGACGCGCTTAATTAGCGCGGGCGCCATTTTTGTTTGTGTGTGCGTCATTTAATTACCCCGTTTTAATTATTCACGTATGAATTTTTTTCCCCAAAACCCCTTACTTCAGACGTCAGCCAATCAAAATCAGTGACTCAAAACAAAATATGAATATGCATAGTATACTAAACATACCTCAAAGATTTATAAAAATGTAAAACCTACTTACATAAATATAATTTAATTTTTCCTTTAGGTAATTTTCTATACCCTTAGAAATGCATAATTATTACAAAATTACGGTTAAAATATAAGGTTTTTAGTTTGATTGTCAAAATAAATAAAAATGAGTTTTTTAAGCTTAGCTGTGAATTCCTTTAAGTGAACGAGGATTTGCTAAATCGAAATATTTGTTTACATTTCTACTTTCATTTTTTCTGTCATCGTGACTCAACCCCCAAAATGCGGAATTTGAGGTAAGTTTTTACTTTTTTTCTGCCTTTTCTGTCAGGTGTAGTTTGATGAAGTGTGGCTGACTGTATTGTCAGTCAACCAATATGACATTTTGCGTATCTGATAAAACGGGACTCGTAGCTGAAGAAAATCAGATAAAAATATTGTACTTTCAATAAAAACTTCTTTAATCAACATGTGATGCGACAGTCTAGAGCCGCATAATCCATGTTTGAGCGGCGCGGTGCTCAATGTGCCGCCGTGTACGTAGGGGCGAAATTGGCTTGTGCACCGTTTGGCCTCCACTGCATCAATAACATGCGTGTAGTCCCACGCACAACTTTTAGTCGTCCGTACAGGTAGTGTACGAATTTCGCGCGTTGAAATCTCTTTAATTCATTCATGTGATTATTTTTTAAAAGCAAAATGTCACGGTTATATTGTTAATATTAGTCTTAATGTATCTGTGAATAGTTTGATGCTTTAGAACTGTATTGATAAAATATAAAAGAATTGATATCACCATGTTTAAATTCAATTGTTGTCAAAACCATTGTCTGTACTACAGTGCTAGATCTTATGTAGTAGGATCTACATCAACATTTAAACAAATGAACTTCAAATTTAATGGTGCTTTTTTTTACTTCTTTTTCTTTCTTTTTTTTTTTTTTGGTGAATGATGATTAGGTCTATATTAATTGATCTAATCATAATGAAATTTTAGATTGATAAAAAGGAATAAACTGCCTAATAATAGTATGACTAGACCTATTAGAATTAGCCTTAAGGGCTCTCTCGAAATGTTTTTTTAATGATATTGTTCGAGAGAGCCTTAACTTGCTCCCATACCCCTGGTTGGGCAGGGATGGTTTGAAGTAGGAAATATCAGTACTCAAAATCCATGATTGTTATCGTTAACTCATTGTCCTCAGAGCGTGCAGAGACAACCGAGGGGTACCAGTCATCCCCCTTCTGGAGATAGACTCCTACATCAGGGAGTAATGCATCTCAAAAAAGGTGCGAGGCCTAGGGAGATTTGAAGTAGGAAATACCTGTATTCAAAATCCATGATTGTTGTTATTAATTTATTGTCCTCAGAGCGTGCCGAGACAACAGAGGGGTACCAATCATCCCCCTTCCCGGAGATCGACTCCTACATCAGGGTGTACTGCATCTCAAAAGGGGGTGTGGCAGGGGAGATCAGGAGATGGACTTATTTCTCGGAGGCTCAGCTCCTGGTGTATGACGCCGTCAAGAACAGGTGGTGTGAGAATATTGGCAGACAGCACATGAGCAACAACATCATGTAAGCGGGCCTTTTGCCACCTGTTGCCTTTGTTTGATTCAGACATAAACCCCCTCCTCTTCCCCCTCTTTGTATCAGACTTTAAAATCAATGCTCATGAGCTATTAGTTCAAAACTACCATAAGTCACTGGGAATAATCATCAGGGTTAATTTTCTCAAAATAGACAATTGTAGAGCAGAAGCTATAACAAAAAGATGAAACATTAAATATATTGAGAAGTTTAGAAGGTGATAATGATTATTGAGGAGGGGAGGAGGGGGGAGGGAGACAAAACATATTAAATGATTTGCAGAGGATGGGGAGGGAGAAGATAAAATATTTGGCTGGGATGTATAACGTCAGTTAAAATGGGGAGGAGAAATGTTAAATAGGATGAAATGTCATAGTATAAAATTTAAAAATCCCTTTTTATAATAATTCAAGATGCGCTTTCAAAATATTAAGAAAAGTGTAAGGAGAATGGTCCCCTATGAAACCCATCATTTTGGGCCTGGCTATTGGCAGGAAACAGCCATTGTGCCAAATAATTATTTTTCAACATTTCATCGATATTACCGTACAACTTCTACATGGAGTGGTGATAAATGTATTCTTCAACAAGAAACATATCCTGTACTCCAGGTAAGCTATTTTCAGAAAAAGTTTTTAGCAGTTAGTCACTTTTACCCTGTCATTCTTCTTTCAAGGATCTTGGTGGACTTGAGGAGAGGGGTCTACTACCAGAAGTGCCACGACCCCACCTGTCGAGCGCAAGGCTACAAATCCGACGATCACCCCGTTCCTCCGGAGCACCTCCCTTCCTTCACCGACTGGGACGAGGATGAACTGATCAACGTTTCTCTACGAGTGGAAGAAGATGCAAGGTCCAACGAGATGAATCAGAACAGCTTTTGCTCTGACTTTGACAGTTTCCATGACGACGATGCTGATGAGGAGCTGATAAAGCTTGGTGAGAGATACGATGCACCGGAAACGGGCAATGACGGCAAGACTGTACACCGGACAGTGAATCTTGTCCAGCTGATACCAAGTCCAACCTTCAAGTCCAGCATTTCACCATCTGGAATCCGAATGGATGTGCCAGTCATTAGTGAGTCCAGATCTGATGCTAGTTTCCGGAACTTTACCTCATGGGTTAGTTGGGCCGATGTTGCTCCTCCACTCGTTAAGTCACGAGCCTGCAGCAACGTCTCTGAGCGATGTCTTAATGTTGATGGAGCACATTCATCTGAAGAAACTTGGGCTTTGTGCATAAGCACTGTTACTAGTGGCTTGTTAAAAAAAGACAGATCAGATATGCCATTAGTTTATTTTGGCTGAAAAAGGGGGATGTTGAATACTTGTCCGTCAAATTATATCATATTTTAGTAACAGTGTGGCCAAATTAGGCGTGGGGGGGGGGGTGGTGGTTGCTACAGAATATTTTAAATACATTCCTGCATATAAGGAAAGAACACCCCTGCTATATATTTCTTATTTTTCTTTTTCTGGGCTGCCAAAGGAGGGGGGGGGGAGAGGGCATATGCATAACAAAAGGGAGGCTTGATTTTTAATCTATTTATTACTTGATTGAGATATTTTGGATGTGTGTTGCAACTTAATAAATTTTAACATACACATATTGTATTGTACACATTTTTAAAAGTACAGTCCACTTTAATTATTAGGAGGATTTCAGGACCAAGCCAATTTATAAACAAAATTTTGTTTTTCTGAACACATAGACACATGTGCGCAGGTTTGAATTCGGAATTGGGAAAACTGCCTCGTTTTAATGAGATCTTGTTGTATCAGCGCTCGTTATAATTGAAGTAGACTGTATATACTTCTCTTGAGAACCTATCATGATCGTATGAATAAAATATAAAGTGAAAATCCATTTTAAGTTAGTTATGAAACACATTTTATTATAAAAAATATAATTGCTCAGAAAATTTTTATCCTCGAACATGTAATGTAGATAATTATATATAAAGAGATCTGATGTAAGGAATACCTGATATAAAAGCTAATTTCTCTGGTCAAAATGAAATCAATTTGCTTTGTTTTGTATTGACTACTGATATAACAAGATACCTGGTACATGTAAAACAAGCAAACTTTGTCCAGTTCCAAGGACCTCATTTTGGGATTTTCCACTGAAGGCTTATATTAATTTAGTGAATACGCAGATCTTGTATGAATCATGCATTATAATAAAATTAGAATCATATTAATTTTATGAATACATATATTATTTTATGTTTACCTTGCCCTTTGTGTGAAAAGTTGCTGTGCCATCGTTAGATTCTTTTAACTTCTCTTTAAAAATGGCCGTACCCAACAAGTCTTTTTCGATGCGGGAGAGATTTGTTGGTGTGACATGTGTGTGTTTTTGCGTATGTGTGATCATGTTTGTCATGTATACAAGTGTGTATTTTAGCGTTGATGTATGGTAGGTTTGTATTGCAGACTGTGCATATGATGTTTGTGGAGTGTATTGTGTCGAGGTGAAACTGTGGTATTAGTGTAGTGAATTGGTGTTTGACAGGTACAACATGGAACACTGACACGACTTGCACTGACAAAGGACTTATGTACACAACTCAAACAAAATACATGCTCACGTGAACCCACACATGGATTAACCAACACATTATTACACAGTTTACACAACATGAAATGATCTGACGAGATAAATTTGGACATAGAATACGCAAGACAATTGTTAAAAAGTGCTGAAAAATGGGCTGACATTGAAATGGCTGGATTTGGGGGTCTGCCAGTTGACTTGGTTTTGGGGGCCTCCCACCCTTAGCTGGTATCATTAGGTTACATGTAGTGCAGGCCTCCTCCGTTCGTTTGTGTTTCGTCCAATCATTTTTCAGTTTCCAGTCATTGATTTTGTTGCGCCTATTGGAATTACTTGGCTTGCAATAGCATTTATGACAGAAAGATTTGGGGTGAATTACATGATCATCATTACAAAAATTAAAATCAGAATTGTCCCACAAATGTTGGTAATTACAAACAAAATAAGAATATCCAGAGCTGATTAGCCTACCCCAGGGGCGTACGCAGGGGGGGGGGGGGGGTTTGGGGGTTCAAACCCCCCCTTGGTATTTTTATGTATGTTAACCCCCCTAAAAAACCTAAAACCCCCCTAACCTAAATAAGGTGACCTTACCCCCCCCCCCCAACGAAGAAAAATGTCAAATTTTGAAAATTCGAGACCAAAAAAAAAAAAAAGTGTCCGCTGATTAGCCTACCCCAGGGCGTACGCAGGGGGGGGGGGGTTTGGGGGTTCAAACCCCCCCCCCCTTTGGTATTTTTATGTATGTAAACCCCCCCTTAAAAAACCTAAAACCCCCCTAACCTAAATAAGGTGACCTTACCCCCCCCCCCCCCAACAAAAAAAATGTCAAATTTTGAAAATTCGAGACCAAAAAAAAAAAAAATGTCCGCTTACCCCCCCCCCCCCCCCCCCCCCCCCCCCCCCCCCCATCCCCCACTGAGCGACTTTTCGGCCGGCGCGATTTTCAAATTTTCGGGAGCAAAATATTTTAAAACCCCCCCCCCCCCCCCCCCTTGAAAAAATCCTGCGTACGCCCCTGGCCTACCCCCACAAAACCTACACAATTTGCTGAGAGCAAGCTTATGGGCGTCCAACCCACTCATCTTCCCCACACGCACACGTACGTAAACAAAAAAGTGACCCTACTTTGACGGCAAATTCTGATGGAAAAAAAAATGAAAGCTATAATCTAAGTTTATAAACTCATTAACTCAGTATTAAAAAAACTTAATACACCAATAGATAGTACAGAAAAACTCAAATAAGAATATAGCTGAGGTTTGAAATGAAATGAATGAATGAAATGATAATTTATGTATTTAAATGACTCTTGTAACTCTCCCCTCGTACGTGAACTGAAGGTCCGACGTACGAAGGGATTACTTAATTTTTATCATTCGCCTGGCCTTGAATTTCCCGGGGCCCCTGGGGAACCTCCTACTCATGCATATTCATCGTTTGTTCTGACCTCTTAGCCAATCATTTCTCTTTTATCCATGCTTCTCTAAAGCTGGAACCTCCTCACGTCATCCCTAGCAACCTCAAAAATTTAAATGCCGCGCCAAATGAAGTGCGCCTCGCACGCTAAAAGCAGAGACAATGTAAACAATGGAGCGCTGCACTAAGCTGACGCACGTCTATGGCGCGCGCACGTACGTGGCCAATCAATACTTCCAAAATAATTGGCTTAAGTCTAGACGCTAGGGAGCTGTCTTAGATTTAGGGTACAATACTTTGCCAGAAGCATCAACTGGCTAGGTATTATATCTGAGCCGAAAAAAAAAAATTTCTGACTAAAGTTTTGAACTGAATACCGGCCCAAGCTTGTAAATTGTTCTTGACTGATAACATACCATTTTCAAGTGCTTATTCAATAATTTGCTTTTTAGTTTTGTTTGTAGACTTATTCCTTTAACTGTAAGTACATAATGTTTCTTTAGGTTTCGTTGTATTTTTGCTTTTATTTCTACTACAGAATTTTACCATGTTAAAGGCAGTGTTAACCATTTCCAGACTTTCAGAATGGCAATCTCTTATCGCAAGGTAGTAGAAGTGTCGTAGTCGAGTGGTATAAGCACTTGATTTGAAATTTGAAGGTCGTTGTTCGATCTCTGACACGGCACTGACTAATGTCCTTTGGCAAGGCATTAATCTTCATTTGCCACACTCGACCCAGGTGAGGTACAATGTAAATGGGTACCTTGCAGGGATTCATTCCTTGAAATGCTAGAGCGCCGTAATGGCAGCTAGGCTAAGGCTAGGCTAATAAATGCGCCTCGGAATCGTCTAGATAGATGGGCTATATAAATGGCTATTATTATTATTTATTATTTGTTATGAAGAAATCTTACCCCTGCTGCATCGGTGGTAGCGTCTGTTGAAGGTACGTAGAACCTCATCTCCATAAGAGAGACCTCTGCATCGTCGTTTTGGTGGAATTCAAGGATGACCTCGTTCTTCGCCGTGGTGGCGTGAGAAACGTTGCCGAGGGGAAGCTGGAAGGCAGACTTCTTGTCGACATGGAAATCCAGCTCAGAACCTATCAAAAACCAATAAAATAAAAGTTGGTGCAATCGCTGTGCATCAATATTTATTGCGGACCCCCAAAATGTCTAAATTATTAAAAAAAGGGTGGTTAAAATGAAAACAAACCCTTTTCATTCAATATGGACCCGTAAGAAAAAAATAGATTAAAGTCCTGTCAAAGCGTCTGCTTCATTTAGGGGAGCCTTCCAAAGTTGCGACTGTGCCCGGACGCGTCGGGGCGCGATGAATAGAACAGTCGCGTCCCAAGAGACGCATTGAGGCGCAAAGGGGCGCGAAGGGGCGCAATAGTCACCCTCACCTGATTCTTGCATATGAATAGAAACTGTCTATTGTTGTAATAAACCCGCTCTATTCTTCTTGCGCCCTTTTGCGCCCCTCCAGGCGGTGGAAGATTATCTCTCCTGTCATTGTTCTCGCTCGTGATGCGCGATACAGCTTAAACTTGATATACAGAAAGTATTTGTCGGCCAAAGCCTGTCTTCCCCTCCTCCGGTTTTCGTTCTGATAAACATTCCATTGTTTGTAAGAAATGATGTATTCTTCTCGCGTTGCGATCTATTCTTCTCGCGCCGTTTTGCGTCGTAACGGGCGGGGTATTATCTTTCCAATCATTGTGGCGAAGCTTTGCGATGTACATTGCGACAGCACAGCATGAACTTGTCTGGTGGGATCGTCTTTGTTTTGGGGGGCAATCAACACACTCGTTCATCTTGATCAGAATAAATTATGATTTTATTTTTGTTGGGTTTAATACGCCTCCTTTTAATTTTTGTGACGACTGTATGAAATGTGAAATAAAGATGACTATGTACGATTAATGGTTGTTTAATTGCGAGCTTAATTGTCCCCAACAACAAAAAATAAAAGACGAATGATGTGAATGACTACATGTATGCGGTTATAGTCGGCAAATTGATTACTGTTTGGGTCGCTTGTGTATGTTTGTAATTTGAATGATTGTCAACATATTTGTATAATTCCCATATCGCGATATGATTCTAGCGTCGTAATAATGGACAAAGGAATTATCCTTCTCTCCCGTCATTCATATTCACGCTACGCGTTGCACATCGCCACAGCCTGAGCTTGGAAGAATTTATATTTTGTCAGTCAAATCCTGTTTTTTTTTTCTCCTCCCATGACTTGGTTCTAATAAATTGAAGGTTTGCTTATTAGGGATAAGAAAGATAACATCAAACAAACAATCTACTCAAGATGACGCTCTTTTCATTTCACCTCGCAGTTTGATAAAGTAGAGTTCTACGGAGCGAATACAAAAGAAAAGTTCGCTCTAAGGCCAAATAAAAAATAAAAGATGTTTTATTAGCGTCCTGTTTTTTTCGAAAAATAGGAAGGAGGAGGCCCTCGATTTTTTTTTCTTTTTTTTTTCTTTCAAAATGGCCGCTCAAAATGGCCGCTCGGTACATTTTCCCTGACAGTCGGGCTTTGTTTCAAGATGGCCGCCGACATTTTTTAATTTTTAAAAAGTAATAGATCCATTTTAGCAGTGTTTTTCATGTTTTTTTCTTTAAAAAAAAAACAAAAAATATTTAAAAAAAAAATTAAAATTAAAAAAATTAAAAAATAAAAAAAATTCCCCCCCCCCCCAAAAAATAGGAGGCGGCCCCAAAAAGAAAGCGGGCGGGGACGCTAAACATGTATATTTGTTAAATGGACTCAGGGAAAAAACATAAAATGCCGTGGCAGGATTTCACGCCCGAGATTTGCCTTCGAAAATTGCCCGTCCAAAAGGCGTTTTAAATCATAATAATTCCATAGCTCTTTTTAAAAGTGGAATAAATAGAAAAAAAAAGAGTCCGGGAACTATATCGAGATTATAAAACATGTGTGTCATGAAGATGTAAAAAAAAGCGTAGCCTGATGGTGATAAAGTTGAGCAGCAATTGGAAATGCAATACAAAACATTAATCAGTTCATGGTGATAATTTATCATTCGACTTCTACTTTGCGCTATATGTACCAAATGATCGCAAAACGGGCAGGGGCACAAATACAAACATTGATTTCTGCTCTAACGAATCATTTATTCGTAGATTTGTATAATTACGTGGCGAAAGTGAAATTTTGAAATCATAATGCACAGATACAAAACATACCAAACATGTTTTGATTCTTATTCTAAACAAAAAACGGCAAATTTTAAAAGATCTTTTTAAAAGGAGGGAGGCGCTATAGCCCAGTGGACTAGAGTAGAGCATCTCGTAACCGGGAGCTCCCTGGTTAGAAACCAAGTCAATATGCTATGGTAAGGCATAACTCAACATTACATTTCATTCGGAGAAGTCTTAAACCCCGCCGGTCCCTGTTTGCCTAATTCAGAGCATACACATGCTTCATATATAGCAGTCTGGTAAAAAAAAAGCGAACGGTACAGGAAGTTACCTTTTATGGATAGGCCTAAATTGAAGGTTTGACTTAACTAGGGAGAAGAAGGATAACTTCAAACAAAAGATCTACTCATGATGACGCTCTTTTCATTTCACCTCGCTGTAAGATAAAGTAGAGTTCTATGGAGCGAATACAAAAGAAAAGTTCGCTCTAAAGGTAAAAACATAGAATGCCGTGGCAGGATTTCACGCGGCCGAGCAAGGCTATTGTTTGATCGCTATAATTGTCCGACTTGCTATAGATTCTTGTTTAGCTACACATTAAGGCTGTGTATTGTGTGTGTGTGTGTGTGTGCGTGTGTGTGTGAGGGAGGGGGGAGGGCGGCGAAGTGAACGGCCGGACCAAAATGGCAGAGGCCCATCAGGAGGGCTCCGCTTGCTAGTTATAAGGACCGCTATTCATTGGACAACTATTCATGAAGACCGCTATTCGTAATATGAGAACATAATATGGTCATTATGTATAAGGGTCATGAATTCGTAATCCCCCTCTCCAAAACTAAATAAATAAATAGAAAACATGAATAGATTAATAAACTTAACTAATGATACAATAACAAATACTGCCCGGTAATTGGGAATAGCCGCCTATGAGCGGAACAATGGGCGCAACATCTATTAGCTGCTCAAAGAGCTGTACAACTAAAAAAAGTGCTTGTAAAAGTTACATGTACTATAATATCCGTATGCTATATGTGAACATGACGTGTTCAGGCCTTATAACTATATACAGTGCACATTAAAACATAAGACTTTACTAGCGCTAGCTAACAAATATGAAACGTCAAAACGTCACGAACAATTGACGACAACAAATTGTTACGACAAATGCCACCACAGGCACCACTAATACAGTTTCTTCGCGAAGAAATATTCGATCGAATTTCATGTTTGGAACAGATTTCGAATTGTTCCATCTACCGACACGTTTTGATGATGGAGGCTCCCGACAATACGACTATCATTTTTGTAATATCTTTAATTTGCAATTGTTTGTTTGTTTCGTATGACATATTTATAAACGCCCTATAATCTTATTTCAAGCAGAATCTTTCAATGATATCTCTTGATTATAAGTATCATTTTTAAATCACGGGTTTTGAAATACAATAGCTGATTTTGCGAAGATTTAGAGAACCTACGTTTCTATTCTTTAAATCGATCTTGCATGAGAAAGAACAAATTGATGGTATAGACATATGACCTATTTTGATCGGATGACAGAACAAAATAAATGTAATATGAAACAAATAATGTGTCAAAACATACAGAAGGAATACAATTATACATATTGTTTTTGTTTTGTTCGTGAACAAGTTAATATAATACAAGTATTGAACGCATTAATGAACAGAAATGAACAATCATGCCAACGTCAACGCCTACACAACTTCGATGTTTGGGAGGGAAATAAACAATCAGAACAACAATCTAAATCAATGTCTTGTACGTAAATATAATAAAAACATATCAGTAGCCAAAGTGAAAATTTTAGAGTCAAATCTTTCAAGACGAGAGCGGACACACACGCGGGGATTACATGAATAACCAACTAATGCGTAGGAACGGGCGCGAAAGCTTTTCAAAGTTTAAGCTCCCATTCACAAATTCACAAAAAGCGCTTCGCCGTTAAGCGCACCGCTCCCCCCCCCCCCCCCAATGAGTGTTATGTAGGGTACGCATATGCATTTCCCTCCTTTTGAAAACAGTCCCCTAAGTCCGGTGTGTAAAGTCAATACGGGCCGGATTTGTGTGTAGACGAGCCGGACTTTGGTGCGTGAAAAGTACCCCTTTACCAGACAGTAACAATGAGTCTCCAAACAATAGCCAGATTTGATATTCATATTGTGAGCATGTGCTTAGTTATATCGGGATTCCCTGGTTATATTGAAGACATGGGCTAATATCTTTTTGCCCAGTATTTCTCCCTGATTGTTTGACCAACATTAAATTGCTATTGTCCACCCGGCCCCCCCACTCAGTGTTATTTAGGGTACGCATATGCTCGTTCCCTCTTTTTGAAAGCACCCCCTATCTGAGGACTGCCAACATTTCCGAACCCCCCTTTCGCGGGCTTTTCGCGGGCTTTTCCTGCCTTGGAGACCCCCCTAAATCAGGAAAAATGCTCAATATACCCCCCTAAATTCAGAATAATTTCTCAGGAGTCCAAAGAGATGAGAGAAAAAACGAAAAAACACCCCCTTTTTAAAGAAATCTCCGGGTGAAAAGTCAAATACACCCCTTTTTTTTACAATTCTCGGGCCGGACTTTGTCGCACGAAAAGTACCCCTTTACCGGACATTTTGGCAACACGCATGCGGTCATTCCGACCCCTGAGTGGGGGGCCGGGATTGTCCAGCTGACTTTTCTATAGGCTTTTCTACCCTCGGCGCTAAAGGGATTGCGGAAAATTTCAACACTATTTGTGTTTCTTGATGACGCAGTAGAAGAAGAATAAGGGCTAGCCCCCCCCCCCCATAAAAAAAATAATAAAAATGGCCCAAAACAACGCAATCATTATCAATTCCGTTTACTACTTGATACCAACACGTGCATGATGGATCCCCCGGATGGATCCTTATTTAGACAGTGAGACAGTTCTGTTACGAGAAGCAATTCAACGAATTGCCATGGCTTGTATTTGTTCTAGAACGCACTACGCTCTTTCGATACCGCACGTGGCCCCAATTCAGCACAATATATACGTAGTTTAGTTCTTCTCAACAATGACCTAGATCTAAAACTGACCGCGGATGTAACCCCCCCCCCCCCTTCTTCGCAAAGAGATATTCGATAAAATTCTTTGGAACGGAATGATAAACTAATTTTTTCTTGAGATATGTTCGAGGTGAAATTTCAAACATCATTTCCTGGTAACTCTCTTCTTTCTTAATGCATGCTCTATTCTTACGATTTAGGCATTATTTACTATGTTGATTTGCAATTGATAATCTCCCTGGGAGTTTTGAGAAATCCCCGATGATACGGGTACAGTGTATTTAATTTTGTTCGTAACATTAGTGTTTTGCAAAGAAAGAACATTCTGAAAATGAGCGTCTTCCTTCTAACGAAACATATTGATGATGTTCCCGACAATACGGATATCATTTGCATAAAAAAAAATCGTAATACAGATAAAACGCTTTTTAAATCCAATTCAAGGAGAAACTACGACATTCTTGATTAAGTATCATTTTCAACATCACGGATTTAAAAATACGTTCTCTAATTTTAAGAAGATTCATAGGATATATGTATTGAAATAACAGACTGATGATATAATTATATGATTTATAATGATCAAACGACAGAACTGTTTACAAGATGCAACGAAAATTAAAGAAAACAAAACAAGAAAACCGAAACATGCGATAACATCGCTATAAGGAAATATACACAATTTTAATGTAATATGAAACAAATAAAGTGTCAAAACATGCACGAGGAAAACAATGTCAGAGAGAGTGGGGTAAGTATAAAGTAAAGTTTTTTTTTTTTCGTGAACAAATCAATTTGTATTAAAATTGATATATTGAACACAATCATGAACAGAACAGGAGGAGATGAAATAATGAACAATCATGCCAACGTTAACGCCTACAGAACTCCGATGTTGAGAGGAAAATAAACGATCAGAACAAACATTGTAACCAATGTCATGTACGTAAAATAATATTAAAACAAATCAGTAGCCAAAGTAATGCTTTTCAGAGTCAAATCTCGCAAGACGAGAGCGACACACAAGCGGGCACTACATGAATAACTAATGCGCCGGACCAGGCGCGAAAGGGCGCGAAAGCTATTCAAAGTTTAAGCTCCCATTCACAAATGTCAAGTGCTTCACCGGGGCGCGCCCCGGCGGGGTAATTTCGTAACAATGAGACTCCAAACAATAGCCAGATTTTAATGAGCTGGAAACCAACTGAAGTCCTCTCGTATCCGACGCATAAAGGCGCAAATGGGCGCAAAAGGGCGCCTCCTTTGTTCTCATATCCTGCTCTGCGCCCCGACGCGTCGCGGCACAGTCGCAACTTTGGAAGGCTCCCCTTAGGTGACCTGACTTTCGCTCAGGATATATTTTTTTGATATTTATTTTATCAAAGATTAAATGCTATAAAATTGAGTTTCCACTGGGTTTCCATTGCGTTTTAGGTTAAGTTCATTCTTATAGTCAGGGCTAGAGGGTTTCTTTTTCTTCTTCTTAATTTGTATTTGAGGTGTGCTAAACAGGGGTGTACAGGAGTGTGCCCCCTCCCCCCACCCACCAACTCGAGAACAGCTTAATTCTATTTGAATTTAAAATTGGTTCATGAAATTTTCATTTAAGTTGGATATCGTGATATATTTTTCTTCCATCAGGACTAATAACAAAAGGGCACTGTAAGTAAAATAAAAACCTGTCTCATGAATTGAAATTCATATTTGTGTTTGTATTACAATTTGGTAGCACGGGAGGGATTGACATGTCATTTGAACTATAAAACGTTATGCTTAACACAATACCTTCAAATCGTGCAGTGCCCCAGTTCCATCCTTTCAGGGATAATTCTTTGTCTAGAAGTTCAACACTGTAATGCCTCTGAAGAAAGTCAGCTACTTTCTCTCGATCCTGTGATTTAACAGTTGAAAAAATCATCTTGAATGTTGCACATTTCAGATAATTCTGAACAATTCACTGGTCACTGTAACTTTTAATTATATACCGGTACACTTAAAAATATGATTCATGCGGTTGCAGGTTGCTTTAGAAAAATTAACATATTTTCTCTTCTACATAATGATAGATATCATACCAATAAAGACATAGTTTGCTGATCTTGTAAACCCAAATCATTTTAATTCTTTATGTGAACTGCTGTAACATGAATTACTGTAGTAAACCGGATACTCTACTATCATTTGGATCATATTAAATGAATTTTAAAGAAAGTGGTATTTCTGATTTTGATTTTATTGAGTGACACAAATTGATCTAAGTCAAGAGTAAGACCTAGAACTTGCCCAAATGGTGGAGTTAGTATAGTTTTCCTTGCTACTTTCCAGGCAAGCTGAAGAGTATTTACATTTACGGCATCTAAGTTATAGGGTGGTCAAGTGTGACGTCATCAACAAAACTATTTTGAACTTCATTTTCAGAAAGAGCTTAAAAAATAATGTCCAAATCATGAAAACCAATTGAATATGTTAAGTATTGGCTGAGATATAACATCCGAATGATTTTTTTTCAATAGGAATTCACTGTTATTTTGCTCTGGTTTGTAACATTTGAACAAGAGCAAATAACAGTTATTTCCTATTGAAATCTATTTATTCGGATGTGCATATCTCAGCTACTACTTAACATATTCAATTGGTTTTCAATACCAAATTTGGACATTATTTTTTATGATTTTTCGGAAAATGAAGTTTAAATTGAAAATTTTTCAAAATAGATTTTGATTATGTCAAAGCTTCGGTACTCTACAGAAGAAAACAAAAATAACTTACTGATTCTTTGAACCCATCGTACTTGAAGACCGATCCTGATTTGAGACAGAGCTTGAGTTCCAGACCTCTAGCGACCCGGATCCAGTTGGTCCTCTCTATGTCGCCTGATTGAATCTGATCCACCTTGCCCGTCTTGTTGTTCTTGAATGTCACGCCTTGTTCATTCAGCCTCAGTCGGCCACCGTTCTAGAGGCACATGGAAGGGAAGGTTTGAAATGAATGGTCAATATAGTCTGATTTCTTTGGCTCATATATTTAGTTTTGTGGACAGAGTGGACAAAAGCACCAAACCATCCAATGTTTAGCTCTTAAGCTGCCACCCATACAATGCACCCAGTGCCACAGTGCTAATCCCTATTGTGCCACCCACAAATCTCCTGTGTGCCAAGTTAATTTTAAGGTTGGTTCAAACGCGTGTTATTTAAATCTTTACAAAAAACAATTCGCTAAATTACTCGAGAAAATCCAATCTGACTGTTGTATACAAAGATGCGTAATCCAAAGCCGATAATCTGATGCAGCGATGGTACTTTCAATAGCGCTGCAAAAGCACTCAGCACGGTGCAATGGGCATGAACAATGACTGTTATTACATATGCGCCCTTGCGTGCACAAAGCATAGTAGCGAAGGCTCGCTAGCATGAACGTGGCGTTCAATCGATAGCGCGCTCGCGTGCACAGAGCACTATAACAATAGCGCGCTAGCAGTCTCATGGCAGGATATGAGTTAATACGGGTACTTAACAGGCCCAGATTTTTTTTTCTACATAGACTAGATCTCGATCTCAATATCATCAGTACGAGAATACACCTGCGCGATAGTGGCCAGTACTTCTATTGTGGTCAAGTAAACCATTAATTCATTCACTCATTCATATTATTCATTTACTTAGGCCTACTTACTTACTACGATGTTGTTGATCATAATTCCTTCCTCAGTCCTCTAATAATGATGGAGGTGGGGGGGGGGGGGGGTTGTCCAGAAACTTTATAAAATTAAAGTCGTCACTTTTGCCTTAATATTTTATAGAAAAGTATGCATAAATCAGCACTAACCATCATAAATATTTGTCTTCTATAGACATCTATGCCTAACATACGTGACGATACGTCTTACAACTTTAAACAAGATTTGTAAAATATTGCATGCAAAACATCTTTCGCTTAAAAATCAAATCACTGATTTTAATCAACTGTCCGGGAAAAAAAATCCTTCCCGACACGCGTCACAACCTCTGGGTATAGATCTAGACCTATAGTTCATCCAGAATCCAGAGCATTTTATTTTTATTATTATTTTTTAGGATTGTCACATTTTAAAACAAATCACTCAGCATCATTTGCATCATGAACAAAGTAACTTACCAACTTAGTATTAGGCCTACCCTGTTTCACTTGCTCATTCTGATTTACAATACAACATGTTAATTTTAATTTCAATTTTAATTTGCTTTGTTGATTGAAAAGGATTCATGAACATGAAGAAGAACTTAGCATTAATAGCAAGTTTGTGACAGTGTGAGTTTGTCATCGAGTCTTGACATTGAATTTGAAATTAATAAAAAAGATTGTTGTCTGTAAAATAACACTCACCATAGCACCCTTCACTTCCTGAGAAACATCTGGAAAATCTAGCGTTTCCATACTGGATTCTGATGATAATGTTCTTTGAAAATATAGAGTTAAATGCCTGCTATATCAAAACAAACATGTAATTGCCTGTGCATGCACAAATGCACTGTAGATCTAGGCAGGCCTAGTCGAGTCGTATACAGTGCATGCAATGCAATGCAATGCTAGATGGTTTCGCAAACAAATGGCAGGCATGTCGCGGGAAAATTAGAACATGCGCGAAAGTTATTAGCGCCCTCTTGAGGCAGGAAGGCGATGAAGGGAAATTCCCCCATTGTCGGCGGCGCGCGCTTTTACTGATCATGCATGCTTCATTGTATATGGAATAAGGATGAGTCACTTGGCCGGTATGCCCTCATGGGAAGGGGGGGGGGGGGGGGGGGGGGACTACCAACATTGGCTACGCACCCGCATTCAGAAAAAGCGTCGAAAGGGTGTCTTTTTCATCTATACAGCGTCGTCAGTGTTTTCCTTAAAAAGGGGTGCTTTTCAAGCACTGATCACACAAAAACCTTTAAAAAAGGGTTTCTTTTCAGGTCTACAGGTTTCGAGTTTTTTCGACAATGGTTTTCCTTTCGGCATAGTTGTATCTTTCAGATTAAAAAACTTTCATCTTTCATGGGTATAGTATTCAGTGAAATAGTACACTTTTGCATCATTTTGCGTCAAGGTTTTCAAAGCAATTTATAACAATTTAGAGGTGTTAACTTTAAAATGTGTGATACGCCTTTTAGGGTCCATTTTGGAAAATTTGCGATACATACGCCATTAGGGTCCATTTTTAGAAAAGGTGCGATACGACATTCATTTCAGAGGTTGATGTACACGGATCGACTTATAAGAGTGACCCCGGGTATGCCCTACATAAAATGGCTACATACAATTAGCAAAATGCACCTTGAGAGTTGTCTACTTTACTTTTAATTTCCAAATAAATCAGCTAACATGTACACTGTAATCATATACAAATATGTTTGTACTGAATTTAATAATGATAGTAATCCGGATTTATATAATAATAACAATAATAATACTCATAATAGTATAAAGTTATAGAGTGCACACACCGTCCAGTGACGCTCATGGCGCTAGCTCAGCAACAGTTCTCTTTGATACAAGTAAAGTAAATAATTTTGCAATATTTTTATATAACCCATTTCAATCCTCAGCTCTGCCCGATGGGGCCCGGTGCCCTACAGCGCTATACAGATATTATTACCCCGATCATCGGATTCATTAGCGCACAATTAATGTACACCATCTCCACCAGCTGGCTGGGGAGTATTCCTACCATATGGCCACAGTGAGAATCTTTATTTTTTCTTCCTCCCTAGATAAAATTATTCGATGCCGTTTGTTTCCCCGAAATGCGCCTATCCTGAGAATTCATAGTACTTGTACGCTTTCTCACGTATTTTATTTTGTCTGAAATAATTATTTTGTGAATCTGACTTCCCCTCAACTTATTTTCGCTACATATTCCCTCTCGGTCTAGTTATCCTGCGGGGAGTAATTTTACATTTGAAGAAAACAAAATGTAAAAAGAAGAGTTCTTTTGTGATACAATAATTTTCACAAATACTATAAGTATATGAAGGTTTTTGTGTAACAAAAATTGGCAGGAGGTGGAGAGGCTTTTAAATCTGTATTTTACTAATTGTCAGTACTTTTTCAAAACCATGCCCCAGGGAGGGGCCCGGGGAGGGGTCTCACCACAGCGCATACATTATGGTATCGGCTTGTACGCGTGCGCAAGGAAGGAAAGATGGCGACTTCCATGGACCTCTTTCGTCAGCTGGGAGCTGGCGCAAAATTTGATTTGAGGAGATTCAAGAGTGATGCAGAAAAGTTTCAGGTAGATTATGAAGACTAGAATTATTAAAATAGATTTTAAATGTTATTTGTATTAGATAAAGATGAACAAATTCCTGTTTATCAAGATAACATGAAATCGTGATGGCGGTGTGGTTTGACTGTAAAGTCCCATGCGTTGAAATGCATGTATGTAAATTGTGAGGTTGGACATGAATTGACATTTGATTTTGAAAAGAGTTTCAGACGAGAGACTTGGAGTAGACTTGATGTTGGACGTATATCATATGTGTTCATGACTATGTCATGAAAATAAATGTAATTGAACTCGAAGACACATTTTACATTCTGAATTCGAAGTCGAAGACCTAAAATCGCTTTTCAACTTCTTCAGTCTTCAAAACAAAATGAAATATCAAAAACAAAGTACATTTTTACCAAGACAGACAAAGGGTGATGTTGATGATGACTTCCTATGGTAATTTGGATTTAATGATGATATGATTATGATATAATGATGATATAACTAAGGAGGAGGATAAGGGGAAGGGGGAAAAGAAGGGGAAGAGCTTCAAGAGGCAGAGGAAGACCACTGAACATGCTGAAGAGGAAGAAGGAGAAGAAGAGAAGTCAGGAGGGTTGACAGAAGGAGAAGGAACATATATATATTACTCATTTCTATGTTAGGAGCAGGCCTGAATACAGGTCTACGCTTATTATGGCCATGCATCAGAAAATTAAATCATGGGAGTAGTGAATAATCTAGCTCAAGAAAGCTTACAAAGAGATCTGGTAAATTAGAAAAGAGATCTAGACTATAGAAGATCAAAAGAAAAGAAAAATAAACAAACAATTTTCAAGAATTAATAAAAAATTGTTGTGAAGAAATCACATTTTACACAACCAAATCCAATAGAGATCATGTAGACAGAAAGTATTTTTACACTGCCTTTCTTGAGATGAATTTATTGTTGGCAAACTTCTAAGGTCTGTATTCTTCTGGGGCTAAAATTCAATTAAAAATCATTCAACAAGAGGAAAATTTGTACTCGTACTTATATCCTTTGTTAAAACTGATATTGAAAGAAACCTTAACCCAGAATGGGGTTAGATTTTTTTGGTAAAACACTGGTCTAATGTCCTTACAGTGATTGCTGAGAATCCTGAGATAGCTTTAGAAGTATGTTAATGAGATCAAAGTTCATTCCTATGAAATGATTCAGGTTATAAGACGCACTGGGAAGCAGCTTCCACAGCAAGACATCATCAAAGCTCTGGACATCTTTGGAAACAGCAAGAGAAGTTCAGATGAGACCAAAGAAAACTCCAAGAAGAAACAAAAAGGTCTGCTGTTATCTTATTTTCAGTCTATGACTTGTATAGAGCAAATGGCAACCTTTAAACTAAGCCCCTCTGCACTAGTTTGGCCCGGAGGGACTAGACCTCCCTGCATGGTCACTGACAGGTGGTTATCTCATCAAATTAGCTCTCAATTAACATACAAAAAAGGGGACCATGGGGGACCAATGGTCACCGATTAGTCATTGTTTTTGCTATATAGAGGGCGCAAGTAGCTATAAGTAGTGCAGTGGGCTTTAAAAAAAGGTTAAACCAATTGGGCAATATCAATAACAAGAGCAACCCTCTAGATACACAATGCCAGGCAGTGATCGGTCTAATAATACTCTTAGACTCTGGCTTAGTGTTCAACAGCTTAAACACTTACACAATTGCTTGGTTAATTAACCTATTTAATATATTTGATAAACGAATATCTAATTTATATTTAACACAGGGATGCCAGTTTTCAGGCCCTGGCGAGTTATTTTCAGACCATAGTTTAGGCTTTTTTGTGTACAAAATAGCTCATTCCAGGTGATTTTCATACCTTCTGATCAATTCTAACTGGCATCCCTGTTACATATGAAGCATATATGTATACTCTTTTTTTCATTATTTTCTCCTTTTTTCTCTCTGAATTGATTTTGATTGCAGTTTCTGTCGGTGAAAGAAGTGGAACAGACAACCAGGATAACCTGAAAGGTCCCGGAAGACCTGAAAAGGTATATCTTGAAATACATGCTTTACAGGCTTTTCTAATATACTTATGAATTATGAAACCTAAAAGTGTGTGGCATTAGGTACAGTTCAATTTGCTTGGCTTTCTGGAGGACTGAATTGATTTCACTTGCAGTAAAAATCTGTGTCTATCTAGTATTTAGGTTAGTACATAAATCCTTCATGTTTTGCTGATGAATGTGGATATTGTAGTTGGTAATGTTAGCTCACCTGGGTCCTGCTCACCATTGATGATAACGTTTCCATCAATGGTAACTTCCACAGACACTTTGATTTGATTGGCTGTTGAGTAATGTTAACATGGTACGTAATACTTATTGCAAAGTTACCATCAATGATCTACTTTTGTTTGGGTAGCCCAAATACATGTGGAACACATCGTGAAGCGCTTTGCAATTGCCATTTAAAGGTGTTCCATGAGAAATACCTCATTTATTGAATCAGATGGGATGGATTCTCAGCCTTGTAGATGAAAAGTCAAACCTGTCTATAGAGACCGCCCAAGGGAAACACAAAAAGTGGGCTTTGCAGACAGGTAGTGTCTTTGTAGACAGTTTCCTTTAGTACATGTTTCAATGAGAAACCATTTTCAAAGGAAACAAAAAATGTGGTTTTTGTAGACAGGTAGTCACTAACGCAGGTTTGACTGTATAAGTATAAGGGGTGCTTTAAAAGATAAGGTTTCATTCATAATTTTCTATTTCTGCTCCTAGATAAAGGCAATCCGCAAAAGGAACAGGATCCATGTACAAGGAGAGGATATCCCTGACCCGGTGGAGACGTTTGAGGAGCTACAGGAGGAATACGGTCTCCATGACGACATCATCCAGAACATTATGAGGGTGGGGTACGCTGCACCCACACCTATCCAGATGCAAGCTATACCAGTTCTCTTGCATGTGAGTCACTTCACTTTTTTTTAAAGGCGAAGAATTCCTTCATAAAGATAATCATGTTTTATCGATTTAATCAGTATAGTAGAAGTATAAGTAGAATTCAGAGTAATATTTCAGGTCTATTCCTTTGAAAGTATGGTTTAGCCTTTTATTTATTATAATTTTTGTATTCAATACTTGGCCAGGTGTTATGAAAACTGAATTCTTCAAAAAGCTATTTCAGCATTTATAATCCTTGGTCAAATTTCTTTTCTGAAATTCATACAGCGCCGTGAGCTTCTGGCCTGTGCACCGACTGGTTCAGGAAAGACTGCTGCCTTTCTACTCCCTATTCTACATCAACTAAAGGTAATAACATCAACAGCAGCATCATCATCACAATCTTAATCACCATCATCACCATCAAAAATCTTCATCATCATCCTCATCATTGCCATCATCATCATCATCATCATAAACATCATTATCATCGTCATCACCATCACCATCATTATCATCACCTTCGGAGATAAGAAAAAGAAATATTGATCCGTTCTTTTTCACATCTTTACAACCAATACTTAACTGTCAAAAGTCATATTCTGAGTTTCAATTCTCGCTACCCTAAATAGGTACGAAAATCTCGAAATTCGCGAGACGAGGTAATTTTCACTCTCTCGGGTCGTCACTACAACTTCCGGTATAGAGTCCCATCCCGCTGGCGCTAGTGCCTGTGTTCGCTGTGCAGAGTTTTCACGCACGCTAAAATCAGGGTTCTTATGCTTGGAATCATGAGCCCAGCACTGTGCAGCCTCACAAAAGAAAACCATCGTCACTGATGTCAAAAGACGCAAAAAACAACGAATGAAATGTTCAAATAAACGTTGAAATATTTGCAAAAAAAAAACAAGACCGAGCAGACGACATATTCGGTGCATACACGTTGTGTGGCGACGGCGTTTTACGTTTGCGCTATCGTGCCTAGTAATATAGCGCCTGCACAGGAAGCTGTAATGTCGAAAAGCTATCCCATAATGCAATGCGCGTTTTCAGGATTTTCCCCGGATCTCGGCAGAATCGCTATTTGGGGTAGCGAGAATTGTTTGCTTGAGTGTTAAATTTGGCATTAATGCTAAGTAATGTTGTTAACTTTAACAAGAATCATCAGTAACATTACTAACAAATTCTGTGACACAGCAAAGCAAACATAAGTATGAGAATTTGTCATTCTTATTTTTAATTAGTTATATAATTATGGTGATTTGTACAGGATTAAGAGAGTGGCATGCCATAAATCAGGATTAAAATGTACTTACGGTAGGTGGGGTTAAAGCCCCTCTAAAGTGTTGGGAGCCCCAAATTCGCCAAAAATTTCACTTAAATTGTATCATAATGAGAAAGTGAGTTGAGTTGTGTTAAGTTTTATTATCCAAACGTTCAAATATACAGTAATATAACAACAATAACAATAATAAATGTATGTTTAACAAATATCTCAAATAAATAATAGGGAGCAGAAAATAGCATAAAATGCTAATCATGTCTGGTACCTTTTGGATGTCTGTCATCAATATTCGACTTTAAACACATCTTTTTTGAAAATCCTTGCAAAAAATGTGTCTTAAATGACATCCTCTTTCACATTATGATACAATTTAAGTGAAATTTTGCCATCAAGTTTTTGGGGCTCCCAACACCTTAGAGGGGCTTTAAAATTTGGCCATAACTTGATCATCTTTCAAGAGTGTGGGCCAGTGTAAGTGAGCAAAGTGTCGGGATGCAGACTACTTGAAGTTAAAAAGTAATGCAAAGGTGCCAACCAGTATGATTTAATCATATTTAGTACGATAATAAGAGTGGAATACGATAATACGATATCACCTTTTAAAACACGATTTTTTTTAATTTTTTTTAATTTTTTTTTTTTATACCCATAAAAACCACGGAATCGCATAGAAACATATACAAGTAAACCCCCACAACCCCAACAAAAACTTTGATTTACAATTTTCTTTAAAAATTTTAATAAAAGAGCAAACATTTTAATTGACCGTACGTACCAGTATCACATTTTCTGAAATTTTACTGGCCCGGCCAACATGTACAATTGAATATGTTTTTAAAAAACTAATTACAGCAAAAATATGGTCTTTACGGTATGCATTTGCGCTGCGTTACGACATCGATAGGTTTTTAATAGGTGAAAGGAAGGCCGGTTGAAAAATACTAATTTTGATGGTAAAATACTAATTTTGGAGGTGCTGAGTACTAATATGTACTTCCAAAGGTTGGCAGCTCTGGTAATGCACCATAATGTGCTAATCATCAAATTCCTTAAAAATCCAGGGTCCACAGAAGAAGGGTTTCCGTGCTGTGGTAGTGTCGCCAACGAGGGAGCTCTCTCAGCAGACGTACCGGGAGCTGATGAGGTTATCCGAGGGTAGCGGACTCCGCATACACACCATAGAACATGGAGCTAAGGCAGCACAGAAGTTTGGACCACACACAGCTCAGAAATTTGGTTAGTTTACCTCATATCATAAAAATGGATGATAAGGGTAACCAAATAATTATGATTGTTTATATCAAATGTTATTGATAATTATGCTTTTCTTATGTGTTGATTTTTCAAAGAGAATGTATTCTAATAAGACTTCATTAAAGGTAATACCAATTTTTGGTATGGGGTCATGAATTTGGTCCAAATGAACATATTGGAAGATTATGCGATTTTACAATATTCAATGATTGTTGTCGCGGTTGAAATCGAGTCTAAACTGATGAAATTGTAGATAATAAACTCTTAATGTTGTATAGCGCTCTCTCAAGACTGATATTACTTTAGCTCTAAAACAATGTTTCTTGACTACGATCGACCGATTTTGGTAATACCGTTTGGAAATTACATATCAGAACTGCATATTCTGAGATTTTCATGGTCACAGCTACCATGGAATGGCCTTTAATAGGCGCTATTCGAAAAAAAATTATTCAATTTCTTGAAATCAGAAGTGTTTTAGGGGCTAAATTTTCTAGTGCTTATAATACATCCACAAGGGCATCCGAATATATCAAAATTGTAAAGAAAGACTATCAATCCAATTTTCGAAATTTCCCAAAAACTTTGCATTACCCTTAAACTTACAAATTTTCAAACGTTCAAACTGTTTTGCCAAGAATTAATAAGGGAACTTGGCTCAAGAAATCTTTTGTTGATGTTCATGAGAAAATGAACACATTCATGTATGTTTTCACACCATTATGGCATGTTTCCTACAGAATAATCATCTGCCAAGCATCAGATTCTTTTCTTTTTTCTTTTGCAGCTAACAAAACAAAAATCACATAAAAGAATATGCTTAAGTTTGTCTTAAGAACTTCTGTGTATTGTTATTATTTTTGTAATTGATAAAAAAGATCAGTCATCTGTGCTCTTTTAAATGTTATCTGTTAAAGAATGAAATTATTAAAATGTAAATTCCATGTATAGTAATCTTATTCTCAATTATTGTTCTTCTGTTTTTCAGATATCCTAGTCACAACCCCAAACAGACTGGTATACCTTCTTCAGCAAGACCCTCCTGCCATCAAACTGAATCAGTATGTTGAGATTAAACACCATTTTTACCATTTCATTTCCATTTTTATTTTATTGTTTTATTTTATATTTCCAATGCTGTCTGTTTAACATTGCATTTCTCAACTCTCTGATTTCAAGTAATTTCATGTAGGAAATCACTCTTTAACTATAGGATTGATTTCTGTTTTAATTTTTTTGTTATAAATGGCTTGATAATCCTAGCGTCGAATAGATGATTATCAACGAAGCAGTTAAGCTGTTTGCGGAGGGAAAAATTAGATTTTCATCAAGATTTTCAAAAAAATAGAAATGAATTACGGGTACTCCTTGATAAGGTTTTGTTTTTGGAATAGTGTAACCATTGAGTAAAAAAAGGTTCTATGATTTTATGCAATGCTGTTCAAAACTATATAAATCAATTGGATCTGTTCTCTATCCTAGCATTGAATGGTTGATTATTGACAAATCTGATAACCTGTTTGAGGAGGGGAAAAATGGGATTCAGGGACCAGCTCAGAATCATCTACCAAGCCTACAATGGATAACTCGTCCATAAAGAAAAATGTTTTATGAGTTTACAGGATCCTCTTCAAATCTATGTAACTCAATTTCATCTATTCTTTGTCATAGACTTGTATGGTTGATAATTTACGAAGCAGATGTTTTGTTTTAGGAGAAGATGTTCCCTGAATTCATGCAATCTTGATGTTTCTTTCATTTGTTCTCTATCCTAGCGTTGAATGGTTGATTATCGACGAATCAGATAAGCTGTTTGAGGAGGGGAAGACGGGATTCAGGGACCAGCTCGGAATCATCTACCAGGCGTGTGACTCCTCTCAGGTACGACGTGCCATGTTCAGTGCGACCTTTGCCTACGATGTTGAGCAGTGGTGCAGGTTGAATCTGGATAACGTAGTGACGGTCAGCATTGGTGCAAGGTTAGTATTATCATCATTAAAGGAGAAGTCCACCCTGATTTTAAGTTGGTTTTAATAAAAGCAGAAAAAGAAATGAGTGAAAATTTTAGCATTATCCAATTGAAATAGGAAAGTTACAATTTGTTAAAAGTTGTCATCAGTGAAATACATATTGGCAACATTGTGACGTATCTTGCAAGGTCCTCTCCAATCTGCTCTGTACAGAAAATGTCATAAATGTTCAATTTCTTTAATAGTTATTGATGACAAAATAGATTTGTTTCATACAGCGGTTGTATAAATACATATTTGCAATAATTATATTTAGGATGAATGTATGAAAATATAGATTTTTAAAGTTTTTTTAGTGCAGGGCTAAAGGGAGGGGACCTCCAAAGAAACATTACAGCGTTGCCATTTTGGGTTTGATTGATTGCACCTTCAAAGGTTCATAACTCTCTTATTTTTCTCACATTTCTCTATTCTTCTGCTTCCATGAAAAATTCATGCTGTACTTCCCCTTTAGGTGAAAAATCCAGCTCCAATATTGAGCGTTTTACTTTTAGACATAGGAATAGTTTCCTCTATCATGATGATTATATCCATGAAAGGTGCTTTATGCCAAATGTATCATTATAAAGGAAGCATTTACAAGGCAAATTTTCACTCTTGAAAGTTTATTTCGATAAACAGAAAATGTGTAGGCCCAGAAGGAGGTCAACCCGATTAATGACTGGACTGCACCAGTTCCCTGTTGCTAAAAGGAAATGATATTGAATACTTGTTCACTTCGTCAAATACATGTTGTTCCACACTTATCTGTACATCTCTTCTCTCTTCTCTCTCTCTCAGCAACGAAAATTTGCTTAGATCTATATCATCCCCTTCCTTGCTTATTCCCAAAGCCAGAAGACAGGTTATCTGTAAATCCTTTCAGTCCTTTGGCCCACATCTCTGGGGAAAAGCTACTTGCATTTCTAGGAAATATTACTTTTTCAAATGATATGTGATAGTTATAGCCTAATCTCTTTATTAGAATCTAAAGATATAAGTTGTTGATGTACTGCTAGAAACGTAGATTTAACAAAAAAAATTATATGTAGTGTAAATAAAATCAATTAGTCTTTCACTGAAAATGTGGCATATTTACTGTTTAAAAGTTATATTTATTTATTATTTTTTGTCTTTTAGAAACACAGCTAATGACAGGATAGAACAAGAACTCATTTTTGTCGGGAGTGAATCAGGGAAACTTCTTGCAGTGAGAAATCTATTTAGTAAGGTAAGTCTCTATTCCACTGTAAGAACTTCACCCAAAGAATGCTGATTTTAAAGGTTTATAGAAAAAGAGATCAAAGTAGTAGCAATAAACGTAAGGTTGAGAAAAGATTTCTTCATTTTGACCAACAAATTAAAAGGGGGAAAAAAGCAAATAAAAGTGTTTTTCCAACTAACAAACTTATTGGTACCCGGCCACTTGGACATTTCTGTTTGCTCCATAACATGCAGATCAAGACTATTTTCAAGAGTTTATTTGTCAATGTCTTTCAAACAACAATGGACATAGAACTGCTCCATATTTAATCAGGAGAAGGCTATATATTTAATCTATGATAGCTATAACTTAGATGTGTTTGTATTTAATTATCTGTCAGGGCTTCACTCCCCCGGTCCTGGTCTTTGTACAGTCCAAGGAGAGGGCCAAGGAACTGTTCCAGGAGCTAATCTACGATGGCTATAATGTAGACGTCATTCATGCTGACAAAACCCAAACACAGGTAAGCAGTACATATATGAGATATGAGAGCATGAGATACAAAAGCATCTGACCTCGCCTTGGCAGATGCTGAAGATCCAAAGGCTTGGAAAAGAGCCATAAGGGAAATGAAATGTCCAACCCAAAATATAATGATGATGATGATGATGATGATGATGATGATGATGATGATGATGATGATGATGATGATAAGGATGATGAGGATGATTAGGATAAGGAGGAGGCTGATGATGAAGATGATGATGATGATGATGATGATGATGATGATGATGATGATGACGACGATGACAACGACGACGAGGACGGCGACGACGATGATGATTTATTTGGGAAAGATTCTTAAAAATTTGTAGCCAAATGATAATCATCAGATTTGTCTTACAAAGACTTTGTTTATCTTAATTCCAAACATATTTTACAAATGCAAATAGAAATCTTGCCATGATTATCTAGAAAATTTATTCTGTCGAGAAGTACTCCTCCTTTTGTTTATCTTCTTTATTGCAATGAATTTTGCTCATTACCTTGACTTGCATCCAACCATTTGATGCATGTAAGTTATAAAGTTCCTTTGTTTTAAAACTCTGTCTTAAATGTCTCATTTTACTCTATTCAGAGGGACAACATCGTGAAAGGTTTCCGAGCCGGCAAGATCTGGGTGCTCATCGCCACGGAGCTGATGGGGCGGGGCATCGACTTCAAGGGTGTGAACCTCGTCATCAACTATGACTTCCCGACCTCGGCTGTCAGCTACATCCACAGGATAGGACGAACAGGGAGGGCGGGGCTCAAAGGAAGGGCAGTCACTTTCTTCACAGAAGACGATGCAGTTCACTTAAGAAGGTAGATTTCAAATTTGTTACAAGGAAGTTGATGCTTTAGTCATGTACCAACAATGCAATAAAATTCCTGTGTGAGGCATGGGTTTATACCTAGTAATATTAATTTATGCTTTATATTATCATACCAACTTTAATTATAGGGACTTGACAGAACCGTCAGTAAGATGGAAAGTGGTCCAAATAGAGCAAGTTTAAGAGCACTTCCTGAAAAATATAAATAAATATACAATACCAACATGGAATACTTGTATAGATCATAGGAACTATTGTTTTTGTAATGGCTGCTACATTACATTCTTCTAAAATAAGAGCGATAAGCAATACATGATAATATGAGAAAATAAGTTGTATCATCTACCCACTTCATTAGATTTGCTATTAAATAGAAGCTATCCAAACTTCAGCTCTTTGTCTCTACCCCCCCCCCCCCCCCCTCTCACTCTCTCTCTCTCTTTCTCTCTCTGTCTCTCTGCCTCCCTCTATTTCTTTTTCTCTCTTTCTCTGCCTTCTTCTATTACTGTGTACCAATTTTTACTTTATGTCATCTGTATTGTTTATTATAACAATGTTGAAATCTACCTTTAATCATGTCTCCTCTAATTGTTTCCTAGTATTGCCAATGTGATGCGTAATGCAGGCTGTCCAGTACCTGACTACATGTTACAAATCAGGAAACTTTCCAAGTAAGTATTATCCTTTAAAAAAATTTTTTTAATACTATTTGGGTTATATTCTCTTTTTTTCTCACTTAAATTCATGTAGTCTAAATAAATCTGTAAATACAGGTTCATCAATAAAATATTCAATGTTGTATTTTTAAAATTTAAATTCAAATTTAAACTTCTATAAGAGATCATACTGGCGATCAAGTTTAAAGATAATTGTAGTCCTTTCAAGATGTACCTGCTTGTAAAAAGCTTTGGCAAATCTGAAGCTATTTTCTTGCATTCATCAGAGTAGACTGAACAATCAATCAATCAATCATTCATCATGTGCCATCCCAAGGCCGGGTTGGCAGCCATGCACCTTCATCTTCTTCCATCACCGGTTTGAAAGAAAGAAAAGAAACTGCATCAACTAGTCAAAAGTGATGTCGTGCTATTCAGATTCATGAAATACATCATAACTCAAACTATTTTTCTAATACTTTAGTCAGAGATCAGATCAGGGGGTCAGTGACACAAAGTGGTTTATGTGTCACTGAGCACTTGGGCCTTAAGGAGTTAAGTCCATGTTTCACTAGCCATTGACTTCAATGGGGTATTGGGTGGAGTTAAGTCTTTGTGTTTCCTGAAAAGCCAACATTTTCTGAACATTTTGATATCAAATACTCATTTTGGCAAAATATGGGGTTACGCCTTTGTCTCACTGAATCCTTGAAATGTACATGTAAATAGCAATGAACATTGACATACCAGAGCTCTTTGTCTTCCATTTATCAAATTAAAACACAACAGTTAACAGTAAAACAAATTTGAACAAACTTGGAAACAAGAAAGAAGGTAGCTGATGAGTGTGAGAAAAAAATTTCCTATACATCTTCATTGAAAACCATACTGTAGTACTACCATCTCTATACCCGTCTTTGGATTTGAAATGTCTAAAACGCTGCACTTGAATACACTGCTAATTTAATTATTTCATTTTTTGTATTTCAGGAGAAAAAAGAAATTGTTGGAGAAGAATCCAGTGAGAAGAGATACCATCAGAACACTTCCTAAAGATGAACTCCGCAAAGCAAAGAGAAAAACGTAAGTTATTGGAAACCTTTTTTTCGTTTTGTTTTGTATGTTCGGACTTCTGTGCTTGAATCCAACATGTGGATTTATAGTTTGGGATGTTTGATATGGATAATTCATACTCACTATCTTTTTGGGTGTAATTTTTCTATTTGATACAGAAAATTTTCATTGGTTGGGGTATTCAGAATCCGGAAGTTTAAGCTTCTACCAACCCTAAAGTTTAGTAGGCAAGCTTTTTATCTAGTCCTGTGGACTTTCTCAAGCCATGTTATTCTTTTTTTACTTTCTTTCTTTTTCATTTCCAATTTCCCTGTTTGTTTTCTTCTCCTTGTCTTTCTTTCTCTTCTGTCATCATGTTGATATTTTGCTATCTCTCTGTCTCTCTTGCTCTCTCTCTCTCTCCCTTTCTCTTACTTCTCTTCTCACTCTCTCTTTCTCCCTTCCTCTCTCTCTCTTTCTCCCCCTCTCTATCTCTCTCTCTCTCTTTCACACTCTTTCTGTCTCTCTCTCTCTGTCTCTCTATGTCTCTCTGTCTCTGTCTTTCTCTCATCTAAAGCTTTTTCTTGACTTGCACCTTCCCTCTAGATCATCTTCTGTCCTCATACTTCACTGATGATTTTCATGAAAATTATAAACAGGTCAATACATGTGTTTCAATATTTTCTTTTCTTCCCCCATATTCTGCTGGCAGGGAGTTAATGAGGAAGAAACAAGGCAAGAAAAAAACCCTCGTCACGGAAGGTGGCAAAGCAGATGAGAATCAAGGAAATAGTCGCGCACCGGGAAGGTCAAAAAAGAGGAAAGGAGGAAAGAAAGATGGGTCCAAGAAGGAAGGAGTGGGAGATAGCGAGACGAGTAAAGTATCACCGGGGAAGCAAAAGAAGAGGAAAGTGAAGAAAAAGAAGCAAATGCCTGCATCGTGATTGAAGAACTTTGGTTGGGCGGTGGCATTGATGTAGTGGTTATGCATTTATGGACTAAAAAACAAACATGTTAAAACCAATTCTCTGACCTTGAGCAACATAGTGATATATCTTTAAATAACTGGTTTTAACTTCTGCTTTCTTCTATTGTGATATAAATATGATATAAATTTGCTTTATTTCTTTAAATTTGGAACAAATTTCAAAATCTAAAATTTATTGTTTTTCAATCAAATTTTTGTCCAACTTTTAGACAATATTCTTACCCGCATGATTGATATTGTTTTCATAGACAATAAATTTAATTTTAACAATGTATTAATAAAAGAATACTCGTGTTGCCAATTTGATGAATGATATCAGTTCAAATTAGCCCTAAAAAGGTTCAAACTCCAAGGGGTTAAACTGTCATGTTCCTGATTGCTCTGGTGAGAATAATATATCACAGGGAATATATATGTCCTTGTATATGTTATACAATTAACTTCTACAACAATACTCTGCACCTTTCATTCTATTTGATTTTCAAGTTCAAGCTTACTTTTTAACAAAAAGAGTCATAAGGACATTACCAATCTCTGATATTCAGACAAGGAATGAAAACTTTGATATAGTAAATTAAATTTGATGTACTAAAACCTATTTGTCTGTGCATTTTTTGTTTATCTCTTTTGCATACATGACCTCATTTTCTTCCTCAACAAACATCCAATCATCTCATGTTCATGATTTTTTCTGCAAAAGACACTCCACTTAAGTACACAAAAAGTAATATTACACTGTTCTCTCTATTTTTACCTCTAGTTTATTCAATGTTAGCAACGAACTACATGCAATGGATGCAACAACAATTTATCCTGTTCAATATACTATAACTTTAAATACTTTAAATAATTTATTTCTTTAAATAAACATATTTTCTTATACAGCTACAGTCACAAAACCTTGTAAGTTATAAATACTCCTAATACTCTTGGACGAACGAAAGGCTTTAGAGGCTGTAAATCCTCACATGTTTATAACGATAATTATAGTTATAATACACGTTCTGAATTATCCACAAAAAAATATTTATATAAATATTATTGCACAATTGAGAGCCTCAGTAATTACATGATATTTGTTGTTGTTGTAATGCATTTGAATATACATTGTATTTTTAAAAGAAAATTGGCAATTCATTCATGTGCCTGAGTATTATGTTATCATGTGACAGAAAGTTTCCAGTAAATTTGAATTTTGAATTTAGTTAGAATGATTAATTCTACATGTTCTATTTTTTTTTACATAGTCTGCATATAAAACACTCATTGCACCGCGAGATCAAATACTATTTCATCAACTTGACATGTTATGTTAACAAAGAGAACTTGAAGTTAACCACGGGTTAAATTTACTGTAGAAAAATTATGCATTCAATTTTCTTTTTTTCTTCTTTTTTACTGAACCTGGCACAGCACTTGTACTCTTATGTAATGTTTTCAGTCTGGATTACATCTAGATAAATACAACTTAAATATGAATTTTATTCTATATCAATGTCTTATTTATTCCCTCAATTTTGTTCTGTACTTCAACTTAAACCAATTACCTCACTTGCATACGACCTCTCCCCCATATATAGTAAAGGGGTCATTGGCTATACGTCATTGATTTGCCCAGTATAGGCCATCAGATTTTTTTTTTTTAATTTAAATTTTACTTCAAACATATTAGAAAGTGATCAGGTTTGGTACATAAGCCTGTGTAAGCCTATTTCAAGCACATTGCTACATTAGATAAGATAACAATAGTTGTGTAATTTTGTTATAACAAAGAATCTGTTTCTTCAAAGCAATATGTAGTATCTGCCAGGGGTTCTCTATAGAGTCTCATCCATTTAATCTGGTGGGTGGAGATGCGGCTGTCGAAGCAGACGTCACACTTTGCTTAAATTTTCTCTACAGTCCCATCCATTTGATTCAGTGCGGTAGAGATACACATTCTAACTAGTCTCTGAACTTGTTGAACCGGATCCTGAGGTGGAGGTGGAGTTGGAGCTGGAACGTCTGTAGCGAGCTGCAAAATAGGAATCAAAAGAAAGGAAAAAAATTATTAACAGGAATGGGTATATACTCTTAGAGCTTTCATATTTTGGTTTAACATTACCGGAACTTTATTGTTCAAACTTGCAAAATAAAGGAGAAGATACAATAGCCCAGGACATTTCCATTTTACCGGAAAATGTAGGGCATTAAAAGTATATATACTTTTGTATATACAAAAAATTAACAACATAGTAAGGACTGAGGAGTTATAAGTATTCCTAGCTATATATGAAATAAAAGGAGCTAAATATTGAAAATTCATTTAATATATCAACTTAATAAATAGGAAGGATACATAATGAATATGATAAGAGTGTCATTTGGATTCATGTTTAATATTACTAAATTCTTCATAAATTGTAATAAGATGGAACTCATATTAAGCGTTATATAAATCCAGATTATTATTATTATTATTGTATGAAGCACATTAATATGGAAGAGGACACAATGGGGATAGATTGATTCGTTCCAATGTTTCAGTTGTTGAAATTAGGGGAAAGTGCAGGATTCCAAATAAATATCTGACTAGCAAAAACAAATGGGTATTTTGATTTTATTTGTAGGTGCCTTTGGATTATTAATTTGGAAACGGAGACATCTATTAGGTTGTGCAGTGCTCTGCTATTTGGTGTCGGACTTCGGATATGATTGAAAGATTGAAATAAATGTATATCATTCAGTCCTTAATATAAAATTCCTAATTGGCAAGTGATTGCAAGGGTATTTTACATCTAGGATGCCGTGAAATTCTTGATTAAAATATCTAGCTACTGAATTCCCCTTTTTACCAAACAGTGCTGTCTAACAAAAATAATGATTAAAAATAATTTTTGGAAAACAATTTTATAGAAGAGGAGGGATTGGTTATAATAACCTCTAAAAGAGTATGAGGAACTTTTGTTTTTTCTTCTCGGAAAATTGTCACCCAATTTGTCAGCAAATTGTATTAGATACACCTCCTCCCCTCTCACAATTGCCCCACCCTCTCCCAAATGCCCCACCCTCTTTCGAATGCGATGCCCCCTGTCCTCCCGTTTTGCTTCTTACTCACCACTGTCCGGAATTCGGATCACAGGGGTACAGAGATGCTCTAAGATCTCGCACGCCGAGTCGAACTCGAAGCCCTCGACGTTAGGATCAGCTGTCTGTAATCCCAGTTTCCCTTCCTCGGCCAGAGTGAGATAGACGATGATGTCGGTAGCTGAGGGTTGATCCTTGAGGTCGTACTGGATGCTCGCGATGAATTCCTCGGTACATTCGGGGTTTCCTGAAGTGTCGAGGAGGGCTATGTATCGCGGACAGAGCCCCAGGAAGATGGAGTTGATGTCGAGACTGCGTGCGGGATTGGCTGGAGGAGGATATCAAAGGAAAGATATGAAGATATGTGACGATGAGATAAGGAAACAGGTGGTGGTGATGGGGTTGATGGTGATGAAGTTGGTGGTGGTGATGGGGGTAATGATCCCGGTAATGATGAGGATGATGAAAAAGATGGACAAGGAGAAAGAGGAGGATGAAGAAAAGAAGAATGATAAGAAAGAGAAGTAGAAGGAGGAAGAGTAGAAGAAGAAGGAGGATGATAAGAAGGAGGAGAAGGAGAAGAACAAACAGTTGAAGAGGAGAATAAAAGGAAGAAGGAGAAGCACTTAGAGACATTTTTATTAAGCGCTATATACAAATTAAATATTATTTTTATTATTATCTTGGAGTTCATTCTAGATGACTGTGATGAATGATGATGATGATGATGTTCATCATCATTACTATGCAGTAACCAAAAGCCATCAACAATATCCACATCATCTAGGTTGATGTAATGTCTATAAGCACATTTTGGATATCATTACCCCGGTCCCCGTCATATGATTTTTTCATAGACACAATGTGTGCACCATCTCCACTCTCAAGGGGGTATTCATATCCTAATTATGGTCAAAATGAAGGCGTATGGCAAATTTCAACTGACTTTGCTCTCCTTGGTATAGAGTGGTAAACACATAGAGATATATACTTAATAAGGCTATCTCTATGGGTAAACATTACCTACCCTGCCGGGACACCTTCGCACAATTATTATCTCTATGTTGTTTCTTTTTGAAGAAAAATATAGACATGCGGACAAGCGCTCTCACAGCTTGAATATGGAGCATGTAGTACACGGATAATTACTGGGCAAAGTTTATCAATTGCATTTTTGAAGATACAGATGCAATGAACAAAATGATGACAACGGGCGAGCTTCATTTATGAAACATTTAAAGAAATAATTCAGAAATCGACATTATTTTGTTAAATATAGGAATATCTAAGCAGTTTCAAAATCTCCTTTTAACACTTTCCACATTTATTGTCAATTTTAACTTAGCTAATAGTAATATCGGACCATAATCCAATGTTTTGTATTGGCTGTGATCAACGAATAATGGCAAATCAGACCTCGCATTGTTTTGACTGACAGCATTTTGTGCCAGCAAGCTTACTTTGATTGGCCACGCCTCTTTCACACAGCACAGTCTACCGCTGAATGGAATTGGAAGAAGAATGAGTGACATCTGTTACAGAATTAGCCATTAATCATCGGTGTATCCAGAATGTTTTAAAGAGGAGGGAGGGGCACTCATTCCGACGAATTACACAGTCAACGGATATTGCTTAGCTGTGTACTGTATGTATGCCGATTAGGCCACAAGGGGAGAGGGGCATAAACTGGTTGTACCCCCCCCCCTTAAATCCGCCACTGCATTACATGTCCACAATATGTTGCGCAATTCTTCAGAAAATTGTACAGTTGGTTCTTTACACTATATAAACAAATTAAATATGCGGAAATTAGTCAATTTTCATTTTTACCAAAAAATGTGAAATTCTTTCCATTTATTTAAATATTTTAGGGCATCGTAGAACACGATCACACTTTCCCCAAAATTCAACCTAAGGCAAATTCAATAGCTTCGTGACTTGTCCACAACCTAATTAACTCTGGGAACATTACAATGACATGTTACGTAATCGGAACATGATGTCTTTGTGATGTCACAATGGGGTATTGACGAAGTGCCTTTGAGTTGATTTCTCGAAAGTCTTCACGGTATTCTTGATCCTCTTACCTTCTGTATAATGCACCGTGGCGTACATGGCCAAGCTAAGGCTGAGGATAGCAGCGATTCGTGTCTGCGATGGAAACAACAACATAGATGTGACAAAATAAGCAGCAAAAATAAAAGGGGCGGAATTCGAAGGGGAGGGAACGATAAAGAAATTGGTTCATAGTATACAGCGACAACCTTATATCACGGAAACGTAGAATTCGGGGGCAACCGGGCAAGGAAAAAGAGACAAAGGTTCAATATTGAAGACAATTAAATAAACATTGAGAAGTTTATCGTCTCATCAAAAATATTCAACAAAACATGACTCCATGACTGTCACACCTTTCAGGAAAAAGAAGAAGAATAAAGAAAAAAAAACTTAAAAAAAGAAAAGAAAGTTCTCTTCAAACATAATATGTTTGAAGAGAACTTTCTTCTCTTTTTATATACACATGCATCAAAATGATAAAACGTTGAAGACCTTCCATTGACAAGTAACTTAACAGCCCACTATCAGGACAAACATGAATGTATAGTGACTTGTATACTATTCTTAAAATTCACTTTTACTATGAGTGACAAACTTCTTGATCAGAATAACGCAATATGGATGACGCAAATGGCCAAATAACTGAAGCTAACAACTGTACACCTTAAAAATCTATGATATCCAAACCAGGGAGATGTCAGTTATATCTCCCTGTCCAAACATGATAGACGATGAAGAAATAATTAATGAGAGAAAAGTTCAAATGAAGATTTCATAACTTAAGTCACTCACCGATCCCATGTTGATAGATTTGAAGCTAATTAATTCGCCGAAATGAAACTAGTGATTTATCGGTGATAATCCCTTGAATTCCAGAGGATTTGTGATGTAGATTTCAAGTATACCTACCCCTTTTATAGCATTTTCCCAGCCGCCAGAAACAAAATATGGATTTAGCATTAAAGATGTCATTGAACAACTTTTAAAAACATAAGAATTAGGCTTGACGAACAATGGCATTGAACGTAATTATCAATCCACACGGGGTTTGTATTACGTAATTACGCGCTTGCCTTACCTTTGGCTTTGCGTTGCAAATTTAAATTTGAATCAGATGTGAAAAATGATGTGATAAAGTCAAGGTTTGCACGATAAACAACTGCATAGATCGTCAACTTTATCCAGTTATACAGTGCGTCCCAGAAAAAACGAAACCGAGAATTATCGACGTTTTATCATAACTTAATCACAATTATCATTAATGACACATATTTGTAAAGCTAAGATCCTCCTCTTTCATTATAATGCATATATCACGCATGAGTGCAAGTCAATTTGAAGAGAGGGAACCACAAAAGTCATTTGGCGGACGGTATCTGAATTTCAAAGAGAAAATCACATTTCTAGAAAGTTCAGTTTCTGACCTTTCATATGACACCTCAATAGGCCATTTTCGTAATGTACCCAAATAAGTCTTGATGAAGTGCCTCAATACAAATTATTTCATTCACCTGATAAGAATAATAATATTTCAATAGTCAGAATACAAACCGCATATATTAAGTGTTTCTAGGTAGGTCAAGCCATAAAGACTACCTGGCAACAACTTATGTATGCAGTTCGAATTCTGTCTATTGAAATACTTTTATTCTTATCAGGTGAATGTAATAATTTGTATTGAGGCATTTCACAAAGACGTAGGCATTAAATTTGGTTACATTACGAAAATGGCCTATAAGGAAAAATGATCAAGGAATAACAAATATATGTTTGTTTAAAGTAATGCTTGCATTTCCATAATTTGATCAGGAAGCTGTAATGAATGGAGATACCGTCTCGAAAGAATTTTCTGAGGGAAAATTATTCAAGATTAACCTGGCTTAACAAAAAGAAATGTAACCCTCTCCAGCCATCATTTCCATCAACAGCTGTCCATATCAATGCACAGTCCCTCTCTGGCATTCCAAATAGTACGAAATGTTACGCAACGCCATCTGTTTCCCTAAGTTCTCTATTCACTCGTTTGCAAAAATATGCAAGCATCGGGCTTTGAAGCCATGCGTGGCACCGACAAATTAAGTCATGTTCATGGAAGATGTATTTAGCTATAACATATAAAATGCAGAATTCACAACATTATGACCAATGCAACTTTCTATTAGTCATCAAATGCGTCTTCCGTTCTCGGATAGCTCTACTGAAGACATGGCCATTTTAACCAGCGAAATCGACCAAGGAAATCATGAGTTAGAGCGAATGAAAGATTTTCATAATCATGATTTTCTCATCTAATTATTGACATTTTCCGAAAATTTCCGAAATTTGTACATAGCTAGGAAGGTAGTCCAAAGGTTTATCTTCCTAAAGAACTAAATGAAATTGTGTTGTATGTTTGCGCATTTATTGATTTAGGGCTAGAAGTTGTCAAGTTAGCACCACTATTCACCCAAAGTACGGGCCGGCAAAGCAAAAGCCGCCGTGCTCGCTGGGCTGGGCTGTGTGTGGAAAGGGAGGACTTAGTGCTACTAGGGAGCTGTAAGGTTTTGGAGGGGGATTAAGGGGATTACGGTAGGGGAAACAAAAGACGCGCGGTGCCACGGATGACTTCAAAGGGGCCTCTTGGACGGGATCTCCATTCATTACAGCTTCCTGATTTGATGAAACGAATTCGTTTTCACTGGCTGCCTGACGTAGCAACAAGCAGAATTGACAAAAGACTTAACTCCGTTTCATCGACAATCAGCCGTAGACGAAAGACTTCATGCATGGATGACTGTCAACGAAACGGAGTTAAGTCTTTTGTCAATTCCGTTTGTTGCTACGGCAGGCAGCGAGTGGAAACGAATTCTTTAAATCAGATAATGGAAGAGCAAGCATCACATTAAACAAACAGAATCTCGTTATTCCTTGCTCATTTTTCCTGATTCAGGTGTCATATGAAAGGGCAGAAACTGAACTTTCTAGATGTTAATTTTAATCACTCATGCGTGAAATATGCATCATATGAGTTGCATCAAATAAAAGAAGAGGATCTAAGCTTTACAAATATGTGTCATTTATTAATTATGATTGTGATTAAGTTATGATAAAATATCGATAATTCTCGGTTTCGTTTTTTTCTGGGACGCACTGTATAGCTCCGATTGATACAAAAACATGAAAGCGATTAGATAATATATAGACATATTTAATAACATAGTTTATAATACAAGGTGATACTTTGCTGATTTAATGGAAATCAGCAGCCCCGACCTTCCTCTCACCCCCATATTTTTGTTTGCCAAATCCTACTCTTTTTTTAGATGGCTAGTCTACGTACTCTTAACCCATCCCTCGTCTCATTCCCCTGTTTCTAAATGGGTAATATGCCAACGACTATTTATCAAACACGTCTGGTTTTATCATTTAAAAAGAATGCATGCACTCGGTCAGTATTATTATCATTTACGTTGCCAAGCTTTCGGCATTAAAGGTAATACAAAGTTTTGGTATGGGGTCATGAATTTGGTTCAAATGAACATATTGGAAGCATATACGACCCTACAATATTCAGTGATCGTTGTCGCGGTCGAAATCGACTCTAAAGTTATGAAATTGTAAATAATAAATATTTCATGTTGCATAGCTCCCTCTCAAGGTCAAGATATTAATTAAGCTATAAAACAATGTTTATTGACTAAAATTGACTGATTAGCTATTATCGTTCGGAAATTATATACCACAACTACATACTCTGAGATTTTAATGGTCGCAGCTACCATTGTACGGCCGTAGGAGCTATTTGAAATTTATCGAAATTTACCGGGAGCACCGGTAAATCTTTATAGTCTATTTTTCTCGAAAGCAGAATTAGTGTTTTAGGAGCTAAAATTTCTGGTGTTTTTAATACATCCACTGGGGCATCCAAATATATTAAAATTGTAAAGAATCACTATCCACCCATTTTTCAAAATTTCCCAAAACTTTGTAATACCTTTAATGGTCATCAATTTTAAAATATCACGAGTCGTATGTATTCATTCCCCATTCCACATGGTAACATCACTATTCGTCGATACTAGGTGGAGGAGGGCGGGGGCGGTGGAGGAGGAACTTACCTCTCAATAATGTTGAATTATGAATAGCGCGTATCATTCGAAAGTGTGTTTCCCTTATCCCTTTTAAAACAAATTGTTGCTACCCCTCCCCCTCCTTTCCCCTGGGGAGCCACATATTTACATGGCCCAGGAAGAGAGCCTATGATATTTTGTATTATTTGTTGTAAAAAGATTCCCGATTCTTCGAGAGTTGAATTTCCTTTAAAAAAGCTATATTTTTTGTGTTTCAAAGCACCATTTTACACTGATTATTAATTTCGATGTAAAAACTTCCTTAAAAATTAATGATTAAAGTAATATAGCATTCATGTCCACTTCTTAATGCAATTAATCCAGCACGCCAAGTGTTCCATAGCTTAATTATTTTATTGTTTGGGCTCAAATGTTTGCTTGTTATCCATTGAGGAAACGGTAGCCTTCCTTTTCCCTTTCATGTGAAATAATATAGTATTGGAAAATAATTCATTAGTACATCTTCGCTGAAAGCTAATCTGGCTTTTTAAAATATGAAATGGCTAATAAATAAAATGCTGTACTTGAATGCACTGCCTTTAATAATTTTATTTGTTGGTATTTTAGGAGAAAGAAGAAATTGGTGGAGAAGAATCCAGTGAGACGAGATACCATCAGAACACTTCCTAAAGATGAACTACGCAAAGCAAAGAGAAAAACGTAAGTTATTGGAAACAAATTTGTTTGTATTTTTTGTTTTGGTTTGTACGTTCGGACTTGTGTGCTTGAATCCTACGTCTGAATTTATAGTTTGGGATGTTTGATATGGATAATTCATACTCACTATCTTTTTGGGTGTAATTTTTCTATTTGATACAGAAAACTTTCATCGGTTGGGGTATTCAGAATCCGGAAGTTTAAGCTTCTACCAACCCTAAAATTTAGTAGGCAATCTTTTATTTATTCCTGTGGATTTTCTCAAGCCATGTAATTCTTTTTCATCTCCAATCTCCCTATTCGTTTCCTTCTCCTTGTCTTTCTTTCTCTTTTGTCATGTTGTTA